CTACTACTACTACTACTACTACTACTACTACTACTACTACTACTACTACTACTACTACTACTACTACTACTACTACTACTACTACTACTACTACTGCTGCTGCTGCTGCTGCTGCTGCTGCTACTGTGACGGTTATATACACCAAGTGGCTAATTCACGAGTGAATTAGTACTTCGTTCTTTTTGGCGACTGTCGTGGTGTAACAGTTTAGGTCAACCGTGGCAGCTACTAACGTTCATGGTCATGGTCATGAGAGACTCGAAAGGACCCTTCTCCCAGAATCCCTGGCGTAGCTTGGACCGGGTGGCATTCTGCGAGAACGCGATCCTACTAGAAGTCAAGGACCCATCTCAGGGCAAGGCTCACAAAACGCCAGCCAACCACTCTGAATTAACCACGGCAACGGCAGCCAGATCCTGGAGAGACGAGCAGTCTCTGCGGAATTTCCTGGACGACGTGGCGCTCGTCGCTGCCGGGCCAGGCGGCAAGGACAAGGTCGCCGCTGTCTGTCTGGAGCGGGAGTGGCAGACGGCAGAAAAGTCGGGCCTCAGCCTCTGCCTGCGTGTGGCGCGGAATGAAGGATTCGACGAGCAGGCGTGTAGCCAGTTGCAGCATCTCCTCGACCAGGCTCTCCAAGACTCGGTCCGAGGTGGAGGTGCTGGAGTGGCGGGCTCGCATGCAACCGTCGATGGCGATGGCGATGGGGATGGGCAGCTCGCCGTGCCGCCTGATCAGAGGCCCGGGCCTCTCTTGGAATCGATCGTCTGCGCATGTCGCACCCGTCTGGAGAAGCATGCGTCGCGGCTCCTTGGCCAGCTGAAACATGCACAGTGTCGAGCTGTGGGCAAATGCTCCCCTCCCGCCTATTGTGCGCTCTCGCAGGTGACGGAGCGCGCAGAAATTGTGGACCTGTTCGGCCCCTACGGTGCCCACACCCACGCTCGATACATGGCGCATGTTGCTCGTCAGCTTGACGAATTACGCCATCTGTGTGACGAAACGGACAAAGATGCTGCAACGGTGTCGCCGGCGACGTGGTGTCGCGTCAGCACGGTGGCGTACCAGTGCCGCGGATCCGGGACCCTGCGGCTATACTTGAAGGAGAATCTGGGCCTGAAGGCCAAAGTGGGCGTTCTGGACACGATGGTCGACGAGATTGTCGAGCGCATCGGGAAGCTTGCTCGGTTCTGCCGGGCCGGTCACACCATCGCCATGTTTGCAGCCTGGCTGGCTCACGAAGACATCGGGCTGACGGTCCGGGGGCTGGCGGCGTCCAAAATCGAAGTCCAGGAGCTCAAGCACAGAACGGTGGCGGACGTATTGGCACGCGGGGGGTCGCAAATGCAAAAGCGGCAGCGGCCACCTCCTGATCCTGCAACTGAAACCCAGATCAGGGGAAAGATGCAGCGTTGGCCCCGATACCGAATGCACGCCGAGGTGCAGCTGGCCGTCTTCTACGAGGAACAGGCGGAGTTGGAAACCGTGACCGCCTACGTCGGCGGCGACAAGCTGTGTTGTTACCTCTGCCACGAGTTCCTGCGCCGCCATGGTCGCCTGCAAGGGAATGGATGTCACCAGTCATTGTACTCGCTGTGGATGGTGCCGGAGAGCATCACGTTCGTGTCGTCCGAACGGGCCGACCAATTCCACGAGGCGCTGAGGGGACTATGTGATTTACTGGAGAGCCGCATGCTGGCTCTGCGTGGAAGGTCAGGTGGCCGGGGCCCCGAGCGGAAGTTGAAACGTCTTTATGCTTCTCAAAACGAATCCATTGCCAACATCTCTCGCATCTCGCTCCCACCTTTCCCTTTCCCTTCTTCTCTCAGCGGCCGGGCCTCGACGCCATCTCAGCTTCAATCGCCTCTGCCTCTGCCTCGTTTGGACGACAACGACACGGAAGTCGTCCTAGTATCGCGAACTTGTGTCGCAGTGTACGAAGACGAAGACGAAGATGAAGACGGGGGAGATGCCGACGAGCTTGAGGAGTGTTCCCAACCCACCACCACCAACCAGAACCCCAGAATATTGTCAAACCCACCGCCGGTGCCGGCTCCTCCATCGCTAGCTATGTCATCCCTAGCGGTGGTAGATGCTCAAGTGTCTGGGTCGCCTATAACTTGTCAACAGCTTGTTGACGAGTCAACGAGTGTTCAGGTATCTGGGTCGCCTCTGCCTCATCAACAGCCTGTCCACGAATTAACGAGTGTTCAGGATATTTTAGTCTCAGTCTCGGGGCTTCAACTTTCTGAATCAAATCAAGTTAAGGACCAGAAAAGCCAAGTTGCGGTCGTGGAGAGCGGCAGATCCTACTCGTCAGCAGCAGCGGTAGAGCAGAGAGGCCGCTATGGACACCAACGCCGTCATCGACACGACAGACCTAGGTCGCATCACCAACGACACGATACCGTCGCAAGCAGCCATGGTCGACCTCGCGGTCACCATCGACATCGACATCGACATCGACATCGAGTTGAAGGACGACTAGTCAAGGAGCGTTCTTCACGTCGCCGACCACCACCACCACCATCACTGTATCCATCTGGAAAGTGGCGAACACGAACCGACCGCCATGATCGGAGGCAGACGTCGGGATTCACGCGGCTGGTGGCCGATCTGCTGAGGCGACTGTTGTGCGGCAGCTGATGACTGAGGGAGGGAGCTTGGCTGAAGAGAGCCTGGTTGGTCTTTGTTTCTTTGGAGGACCAGAGAGCCTAAGCCTTTTCTCTAGAGGTCAAGAGAACCTAAGACCTTTCTAGAGGTCCAGAGAGCCCTGATCATGTTCAACACTGGCAGCTTCGACGGTCCTCACTCCACTCTCGACCAGAATAGCTAAGCTGTCCCGGGTCCCGGCTGCTCTGGTGTGGGTTAGATAAAGCGAGCACACACACACACACACACACATACACACACACGCACTCACATACATACGCACTCAGACACACACGCACTCATATACACACACACACATACACACACACACTCGCTACACCACCCTCGACAGGCTGCTGATTGCTGATTACTGAAAAGTACTGTACAGTCGTGGATCAAACGGAGAAGTGGGCGAGGCTGGCCTCCTGAGCAAAGGTCAGCCTCCTTAATTAAGGTACAGTACCATAATGTAGCGAGTACCCACCCACCGACGATCTTACAGTAAGTGAGTTCGTGACCCATGGGAGCTATACCCAATATATATACATATTATGGATACATATAGTAACTATAGAGTATGGATACAGCCTCGGCCCACCACTATTACCCCTAACACGGAAAGCCGGGCCGAACGTAGATAAGATAAAATAAGATAAGATCAGCTTCTCCGACCAAAACGGTGCAACAACGCCATTCATTCTCGATTGGACGTCCTACAGTATGTACCCTACCCTAATTGCCGTCCCTACCCTAACTGACGTTCTACCCTACCTTAACTGACGTCCTACCCAACTAAGGGTTCTTTATCGCTCAATTGAAATTCTGCATGAAATGACTTGACCTCTTGGCCCGAGTGACCTGGCGGTCATGTCTGCGCGCCCCGGCTGGGTGGGGTTGGGTTGACCAAAGTACCTACCAGGCAGGTAGCGGGAGTGAATATTGCAATGTCAGACATTGGCTGTTTTTCCCCATTCGTCCCTGAAGTTCCGATAGATTCATCAACCGGCGCTTCTAAACACCGACACCGGTTGCCCGTCAACTGGTATGCATGGATCATATCATATCTCATATCTCATATCTCATGAGAAGGCGACGACCTAGGCCGGTTGCCTGACTATTGTCATGTCTATCTACCTCTATGCTTGGGCCTATTTCTATCTCTATATATTTGGAATCTGCAATCTCCCGTACATCTATCTCTGCAATCTACCGTTCTCTGCAATTTACCTTTACATCTGTCTCTATACTTGGAATATACAACTCCACCTCCACCTCCATCTAGCTAAATGGCGCTCATGAACCGTGATCTCGAGAGGGCCCAAGACATCACCGGCGTCCGATTCCACAATATAAATCTTCTCCGTGAAGCGTTGCAAAGTGCCATTAAAGACCGTGACGAGGCAACGGGTGAGATACACAAGTCCGATGGGAATCGACGTCTGGCGAAGCTAGGCTTTGTTGTACTCGAGCTAGCCATTACAGACGAGTGGCTCAGAAGGAATAGGAGTCACGGTGCGTGAAGGATGGTCCTCGTCCTCGTTTTCGTCCTCGTGCTTGGTTCGACGGCAACTGTCACAACTCACGCTGACAGAAAGACAATTGATAGCTGAACTGGACTTGTTGCGAAATAGATTCTTGACAAAGGATTACTTGTGTGACGTGGCGCAGCAGAAAGGCCTACACACCTGCATGGCCATGTCTCAGCGGCAGGAGAACATGGCGGCGCCACCAACAACGATGAAACTGGTCATGAATGCCGTGATCGGCGCCGTATGGCTCGACGCAGGTCTGAATGCGAATGAGGGCTTGAGAACGGTCAAGAACATGTTGCAAATCTTTGGGTTAGTATGCCCTTCACGCCCATCGAGACATTGCAACACTCATGGCCAGTCGACAGGTTCTTTGATTGGGACTTCTTGGACTATGTCGACTAAAGCCCCAGACTTCTGCCGAGCTTGCGGCGTTGATCTCGAGATGATTGATCAGGGGCACGGATGCATACCCGCCTGCACACATGCCCCTGATTAATCATCTCGAGATCAACGCGGCGAGCTCGGCAGAAGCCTGCTCCATCTCGGCAGGGATATCCTCCATAGACCGCGCCTCTGTCTCCAGCAGTTGTTCGTCGGAATCCAACTTCGACTTGAGATCGGCCAGGCTGGTCTCCAATCGATTCCGCTTTCTCATCAGATCCGCGTACGTCAGTTGACTTTGCCGAATTCTCTTCCTTAAACTCTCGGTATTGATCCGGTGCTCGTTTCTTTTTGCAATCAACCGACGTATCCTTTTCGCCAAAACTTGAGCACGCTCTTGGGCAGCATTCGTCGCCACCAAAGAAGTGAGAATCGGAGCATGATGTTGGAAATCACCGTCTTCATGCTTGATTCTCACTTCTTTAGTGGAGACTAAATCCTGAGTCAGAGATCCAGTCACTAAGCTGTTGGTTCGGGGTTAAATCATACTTTCCACGGGACACAGGTGTGTGGAAGTGTCGAGGACGTTTACCTCTCCGAGCTTCTCCTTGGAGAGTTCGGGGGGTGCAGACGTCGCACGCAGGCCGCTCCCAGTCGTCGTCCCATCGCAAGAGTTATCTGCTGGACGGATTGGTAGCCATGGTAGACCTTCGGTGGTGGCAGCGTCGGGAGCCTTGGAATCTGGAAATCTCCAAACTCGGGCTCTGTAGCAAGTGAGCGGTCAGTGTCTGGATGGATGATGCACAGAGTACATGTACCTTTTCTTTTCGGGCTCGGCCGCCTGTGTTGGTAATATCCCCTTCCTCTTATCTCCGGCTTTTTGCATGACTTCCCAGCGGGTAAGGGTTTGTCACGCTCTGGAGGCAGGATTGGGGCAAGTTGAATCACAGTCGTAGAACTGGATTTGGATGAAGTCGCCAAGCCAGGGTTGCACTCAAGTCCGTCGTCATCGGAACGGCGGGGTAGTAGTCGGTAGTACTACTACTCCCCTAACTGCTCTTGCTCTGGCGCAGCTGCGGAGGCCTCAGGAGCCTCAGGCTTCCAGGCTTCCGCTTGCGGGTCTCATGGTCACACTACTCCGTACAGTATCCTCTTCATCTGGCTGGTAACGTGGTCAATGCCAGTGCCGTGTCACCAGATCAAGCCTCAAGATGGCAGAAAGGCAAATCTGGCCACGAAGCCGGGATGACAGAGACGTAAGTTCCAGACAATCGTGCTCAGACCATGCCAGTCTCACTCATACTTGTACGGCATAGTACTATTCGCAACTGCTCACCGAGATCGATTGCCGGGCGAAAGACCGGCTGTCGGAGAGCAGAGCAGTAGGCCAACGAGAAGTGCAAGCACTGCAAGATTTCATCGCAGAACTGCGATCGACAGCTCACAACCTGGAGGAATTTTTCCACGACATCTACCGCGATCAGGCGTGCGGGTCAGATTCACCATCTTGTCCGCCAGCAGACTATTTCGAACCACAACTCTTCCCCGACGAGCCGTCCACAGGTTTTAGCAACCACGGATATCAGGTTCCGACTCCGGCCTCAACTTCACTACCCCAGTCACCTTTCGAACTTGGCAGCACGGTCAGTATACCGCCCCAACTCCTCGACAAGTGCCATTCGGACGGGTTCTTCGTCCATGAAACCACCGTCAATCCCAGCTCGGTGTCGGATCCATATCCCGTCCTCCAGAGAACTAGGACCGTCACACCATCATCGAGGTCGAGTTCACTTATCTCCCGGTCGAGAGAGGGTGGCCGTCCCAGAAACAAACCTAGCAGCCTGCAGGTCAACCTGAGACCGAAAACCAAGTCTATGGCCAGTTCGAGACTTTCTAGTCTGAAGGAAGCAGACAAAAGGAACCCCACCAAGGGCCGGGCTCGTACCAGACTCGCAGCTCCTTCCCACCCTTCATCAGAGGGTACCTCAGTGGTGCACAAGCTGATCCAGGGGGTCGGCAGTATCACGTCAGTCATCCAGCTTAAAGAATCCGTACAGGCCTTTAGACACCAACGGGTGGCATCGAACATGGGCCTGCCACAATCGACCAAGGAAATCTGGAACCGTCTGGACCTATTGGAGAACAACACCCACACGAACAACATCCTTCATCGCTTGTTTCTGGTCCAGCTAGACCTGCGACGGAAGGAATTGAATGTGAGTATGAAAGGGATTGTTAAAAAAGTACCATCATGGGTGATTGATAGGATCGCCAAAGATGCCGAAGAAGGAGACCGAACAAAAGTCATCTCTCGACTTCATGCCGGCGTGGTCTGGAGTACCATCTCCGACGAGTTTTCCACCGGCGTTCTGGCGCTGATCCCCACTCAAAAGGCCCACTGGCCCAGCAACACAGCGTAAGTGCATGATGCCACTCCCGACGTCAACTGCGCATGAAACCAGGGCTTACCGATTTGCAGGGTAGAGAAACTAAACCAGAAAGATCTAGCCGGGTTTCTGAATAAAGCCAAGAACGACCGTTATTCCCTCATCAAGGGAGCAGCCCAAAGGGTCACACGGCTGATCCCCTTATTCGAGGGGAAGGGATGTGAGGCCATGCTCAAGATGGAGCAAGTTGGCGTCGAAGTCCTGCAGCATATCCAGAACGAATCCGATATACTGCAATTCCTGGATTGTCTTTGATCGGTCCATGCATCTAGAACTTGGAAACGTTTCTTGTTCACTATCAAATACGCCTGGGCTTGAGGAGAGCTAAAGTAAAAGATGATAACGAGTGCGAGGGAGGGACGTCTTAGGTCCATAACACTTTGACCCCCAAAGATAATTCCTTCTGCATCAGAGACATCATCAAACATGCAATCAAACATAAAACATGCTGTTGCGCACGTTTGGGTGGATCTTCACCAAACTCGAATCTGGTCCGTGTGAGGTAGACTCGTCCCCTTCACCCACGCTGCCAGCTGAACTGGCTCCAGACGGGTTGAAAAGACCGCTCATGTAGCATCGGGCGCGTTCGCACACCAGATCGGCATAGTAGGCTGGAGGACAGATGCTGACGGCCTTGGTGGCTCGGCCAAACAGATAACACATGTTGTGTGTCAGGTCTTCGAGAACATCGGCCGCGTTCTTGAACGGGGGCGGGTAGCCCGAGCCTTGACGAGCTTGGAAGATCTCGTCCCAGACCACATAGTAGTGTGCTGGACGGGCGGTGCCTTGGATGGCAGTGTGTGCCTGCATGAAGAAGTCCCAATTCCGCGCCTCCGTCACGCCGCGGTCGACAACGGTTCCGTTTTGAGGGTTGGAGGAGCGATCTGCCTGTTTGGAATCGGTCGGGTAAAACCGTATGTGGTGCCGCTTGCCCACAATGACGATGGTGATGCGTGGCAGGCCCTGCTTTGTCGCAGTGGCGGAATATAGCTTGGCACAAGCTGAGCGGACCTCGGGCAGCTCTTGATCGAGAACTAGATTGTATTGCCCTTCGGAAACGCCGTCGCGATAGATCAGTATGTTCTCCGGGTACACGCCGTTGTGGCTTTTCCACAAGGCGAGCCGGGCCTCCATCAATGACTGCAGTCCTGCCACCATCTCCTGACGCGCCGTCTGGATGGCCAAGTCAGCCGGCCACTGTCCCAGCCCTTTGTCAATGGAAGCCACGATGCCAGCGACGCTGGGGGCAGTGGCAGCAGACCCGGGAGAGGGGTGAGTCACGTCAATGCCGACCACCATAGTCTTGCCCTGGGACAGGAGGCCGAGTTTCGACGGCTCCAAACTCTGGTTGATGCCCCCAAGCTTCAGATTGAACTTGAGCCCGACGTTGGCGAGGTATTGGTCGTTGGCTTTTGCGAACTTGGATGCAATCACGCACACATTGATCAGCCCCTCCCGAACGTCGCATGCGTATTTGACGCGGTTGTAGATGGCAACGTCGGCCGCTGGCAGGATGGCGAGGACGAGCTTCGGAGGCGGTCTGTTGGGGCTGGATGTGAATCGGTGGAAGGCTTCATCAATGCGTGACTCGACGGTGCCGGGGCCGGGGCCAACGGTGATGCGCATGCCTCGCGTGCAGTCGCTGCAAGTGATACCTAGCTCACCCAGCTTGGCAGTAAACTTCCTCACGGAGGTTTGTAGCTCTTCTTCATCTCTCCATGGGTCGACCGTCGGGGATGAAATCCAAAGGTAGGTCCAGTACGGTAGATTTGTTTTGGCGGAAAACTGCACCTGCTGCATGTTCCAGCTGCCGAACCGCGTCGCCGCCTGTTTCTGCGCCCCGTACCGCACGCTGGGCGAATTCAACACTCGCCCGGGCACGCTGAGCAATCTTGGCCTGATGCTGATATTGAATGCGTCCTTTTATTTGGTTAGTTTGTCCCAAGGTCAAAATAGGCCAACCACGCAGACACACACACTATCTCACCCCCGGGATGATCGAAGGAACTTACCAAGGTCGAGGTGTCGCCCGTCAACATCTGCGCCCCAGCTGTGATGATGGACTGTGCATTCTGTGCCGGCCTGCGCACCGCGAACCGAATAATCTGTTGTGTCTGGGCAGGCGTCAACTGGGCGTTGGAGGCTTGACCAGGAATGACATGGCAGACTTGCGCAGGCAGGTAGGATGGTCTCTCTCGAGTGCCGACATTGACCACTGGTAGGCTGGATTGCTGACGACGATGTTATATTCTAGGCACCGTCAGCGTTAGCATAACCCTGAACCTCACGGAAGTAACCAGAAGCCTTGGGCCCTCTCCATACCAGAACGAAAAAACTCGTAGACGCTGATGTATCGCCCTTGAGGAGGTGCAGGCGTCGGACCAGGCTTTGGTGCCTGCTTCCCTTTCTTGCTGCCAGCACCAGCACCACCACCACCCATTCCTCCTTTTGCTCCTCCTCTCCCTCCTCCTGGAGCGGATGATGACGGCCCGGCCGAGTTCTCTAGCCAAAATCTGACCTCTTTTGGCCCAGCCCCGGATTCAGGGACGATGGGTGGAGGGATTAAACCAGCACCGTCGTTACGCGTGGCAAGGCCCGAGATCACCTTGATTCGGGGAATATGGCGACCGGCTTTGTTTTTGCGCACAATATGGGTAACATTGACTGACAACTTCGTGACAAATTTAGCAAGCTTTGCCTTGTTGCCCCCATTGCTGGCTAGGTAAGCGGCCATGACTCGGTCGAGAGGGCCATCTTCATAGAAGGCACCATTCTTGACTTGGATGTTTACGAGCAGTCAGCCGGTCGCGGCTCGAACGCTGATGAAGAATCCCCTGATGGCGGCCAGCCCGGCACCCAGTGTTGCTCTATCGGAGGCTGCGGCGTTCAACCCATAATGGCGATTCGATCCAATGGATGCGATGTGCGACGCTGCTTTGGGATGGTGTCCGACCACAATGTTCAATGCTTGGATGATCTCTTCCTTGGATCCCAGCAACGCACTGGCGCGTGTCGAAGTCAGCTCATCCAGCAGCTCCGACACGGTCAATGAAGCAGTGAGGGCCAGACGAACACGATAGCGTTTGGCATTGGGTTGTGGGTCGTCCTCATCTTCCGTCCGGTAGACCACGTTATAGATGCCTTGGCCGGGGCCGAGTTCGAGCTTGGTCGAGCTGATCAGATTCGACTTGAAGTCCGTGGCGATCCCTGGTCTATCTTGACCAAGGTGCTCCTCGAGCAGTAGCTCGACGATCCGACGAGCTTTCTTTCCCGCCGGTTGCCTCCCAGCCTGATCGGGCAATATCTCCAGGCTGTAGCGGTGGAGGACCAGGCCGCCGTATGCCACCATCTGGAAATAATTGGTCCATAACAACACTTCTCGTCCTTGGGTACCAAAGCCCGGTCGAGGAGGCAGTCTTGCTGTAATGGGAGATGTCTTGGCTCGTTCCACTCTCACGTTGTTCTCGATCTCATTCTCGATCTTCCTGACGGTCAAATCTGGCTGCGCAACGTCGCCTGGCCCATGACTGAAAGTAACAAGCAGCTCAGCATCTCATCGTCACCCAGGAAGCTATCATCCCAGAGATGGAGTATTTGTACTTACGAAAAGATGTTCACTGCAGACGCGATGCCACCTCCGTAGCCACCTCCACGACCCTCCCCGCCCCGGCCTGTACCTCCTCGAAATTCACCACGCGCAGAGCTGTCTCCACGGCCGCGAGCTGGTGCAGCAGGAGCATTTTGACCTCGCCCTCTTCCTCGAGTGTGGGAGGGGAGGACAGTATCACTCCACCCACGACCACGTCCTCTTCCTGGCTGGGTTCCCGACATGTTGAGGTGATATTTCCAGACTTGCCGCTCACGGGAATAGAAATGAAACAGAGGCAGATCAGGCAGCAATGTTTGCCCAGCCTTATACATTTCTCGCATACCCCGCCGCGGGGTCTGTATGCTATGTAACACAAACATGCCAAAGTGAAGTAAGAATCTACTGGTGGAACTGTCTTGACTCTATACAGGTCAATCTTCCACACCTAACTCTAAACACTAACCCTAGGTCTGAGAGCTGAAAGACTAGTCGTCGAGCAACATCACACACGTTATCTCTTCTGCATTCTGAACTAATTGTCGGGAACGGATTCTTCTTCTTTACTTCTGACCTGAGGCAAATGGAACCAGTTGAGATGATGCATCGAGCAAGAAGCTACCAGCTCGAGATGTTGGAGCACAGTCTACGAGGCAATATCATCGTTGCGGTAAACATACCCCTTTCTGGCCATGTCATCCTCCGATACGGGATTCCGACCGACCGACTGATTTTGGCGACATGATCAGATGGATACCGGAAGTGGGAAGACACAAATGTCTGTGTAGAATCTCCATGTTGGCCGTCAAATCTTATCTGTGATGAGGGCGACGATTGCCGTTGATAATGACAGTGACGCTGACTGATAAAACACCTGATCAGAGCTATTCTTCGAATCATGGAAGAGCTTGACCGCTGTTCGCAGGATCAGGTATCTGACATCGTCCTCCCCGCTGCCCGTTGGCTATTGATCTCGTACTGACGCGACTTATAATTCTATTCTAGCTGGTTTGGTTCCTCGCCCCGACCGTCGCCTTGTGTACCCAGCAGCATGAGGTCTTACGCTCACAACTGCGTGCTGCGAGGACGAGGCTGCTGATCGGCGCGGACAACGTGGACCGTTGGAGTGAGAAGCGACTGTGGGATTCAGTGTTGAGCGGGGTGCAAATTGTCGTCTCAACACATGCTGTCTTGCTCGACGCCCTTGGGCACGGCTTTGTCCGGATAGCACGGCTGGCTCTGCTGGTCTTCGATGAAGGTGAGTCGAGGCTTCCAATCGTCAGCCCAGCTGCCACTTCCCCCCAACAAAGAACCAAAAACGAATGCTTGCGACGGCTCATGCTGATTGAGAGCACAGCACATCATTGCAGGCGAAAGCACCCAGCAAACAGAATCATGCAAGACTTCTACCATCCGAGAAAACTGAGCCATGGGCCAGCTTCAGTGCCTCATATTCTGGGCCTAACGGCAAGCCCCATACAATCCAAACCAAAGGATCTAGTGTTAGTGTCGAGGGTTAGGGTGTGTAGACCACATGTGCTCATCAGTGCTGACGTCTACAGTGTCATTGAAACCAACCTCGACTCGATTTGTCGCACCCCTCGCCGGCAACGGCAGGAGATGCTGAAGTTTGTCAATAGGCCTGTGGTGAAAAAGCTATTCTACCGTGACAAAGACGATGACTATCACCAGCATCTGAAAGCAGCTTCAAGAGAAAGTATGGCCCTGCGTCTGCTGAGACGCATTTGCCACCAAATAGCCCCCGAGTCTCCCACAGGGGTAGATCAACCAAGCATTGGAACACCTCTTCCCACTGGCGGGTATGAGGGGCAGCTGGTGAAGTTCCGGAAAAAGGCAGTTCACGTCTATGATGAGCTGGGTGCTTGGGCTGCGGACTACTTTATCCTAGAGTCTATCAAGATTTTGAAGCAGGGTTTGGACGTCGAATCTCCTTTCGTGTTTGGGTTCAAGGACGATGAAAAGACCAAGCTCCTTCAGGTGCTCAGTGCGATCCCGGCACTGATGTTAACCAGCTTTCGACCTGAAGAAGGAAATGAGATGCCCCTTTCGCCCAAGGCTGAGTGCCTCATTGCGTTTCTGGCAGAGCAGGATCCTGAAAGATGTTCGGGTCTCGTCTTTGTGAAGCAGCGAGCTGTGGTCAGTGTGTTGCACGCGTTGCTCTCGCAGCACCCCCGAACCGCAAAGCAGTTTCGATGCGCGACATTTGTTGGTTTGTCCAACAGTGCCCACCGTCGATACTCGATGTCTGAAATGCTCGACCTGAAAGCACAGCGCGAAGCATTGACGGAACTCAAGGCCCAAGTCAAGAACATCATTATTGCGACAGATGTGCTCGAGGAAGGCATCGATGTCATCGCTTGCAACCTGGTGGTGTGCTTCGACCTTCCATCCAACCTCAAATCATTTGTCCAGCGACGAGGACGGGCCAGACAAGAGCAGTCCACCTTTGCCGTCCTTTTATCTGACCCTAACAGCGGCGAGAACAAAGACAAAATCCATGCCTGGCAACAACTGGAAGAAGAGATGATCCGACTCTACCAAGACGAGACGAGATGTCTGCAACAGGAAATGGCAGAGGAACCCACCGAGAACGTTACGTATGAGCTCAACCTTCCTTCCACCGGGTAAGTGAAAATTGATATTAATTCCGAGCTTTTCACCCCAAGACTGACCAATTGATAAAGGGCCAAGTTGACTGCAGACGGCGCGCTCGGGCATCTTCATCACTTCTGCGCCCTCCTGCCCCCTCAACCGTTTGTAGATCTCCGGCCGGCCTTTGAAACTCAACAAAATGAACTGACAGGCATGTTCACCGCAACCGTCACTCTTCCAAACTGTGTCAATGCTTCGGTGCGGTGCGCCGCTAGTCGCAAGGCATGGCAAACGCAGAAGGCTGCCGTCAAGGATGTGGCCTTTCAAGCTTACCAAGCACTGTTTCACGCCGGGCTGTTGAACGACCATCTACTGCCTCTCAAACATGATACCGCGTTAGACGAGGAAGATCCGATTGACGACTTGCCGGCCGTGGTTGAAGTAAGCACCCAACACGACCCCTGGTTGGAATTGGCTCAAGCCTGGTCATGTCCGGACTGTCACTACACCACCATTAGTCTTCATGAGGACGGCAAGAATGGCCCGAGCGAACTCGAGTTTGTTCTCGTAAGCCCATCGGCTCTACCGGCCATCAAACCAATCAAGATGTACTGGAGCGAATGTGTCACTTTCACCCTCACACTGGGAAGCCCGCACCGGGTCTCTTGCCCCAAGCCCGAGATTCTAGAAGTCATGAGGGAGATCACCCAACTGATCCAGCGTTCTATACATTCGGACCAGTATCCAGACCATGGAAATGACTTTATTGCGCTGTTCATTCCAAGCAGTGAAAGTCGACATCTCGTCAAGTGGCTGGAAACTAATGGAGGAAGAAATCCGGCTCTGGATCACTTTCGAGCTCACCCAGCCACGCCTTGCCGGGGCTTTATCCGGGCACCGTCAACATACGGCCGTCCATACCTATTCCAGCGTTGGTGCAATGCAGACACAACTGTGGGAGCGGGTGAAATTGAATTGGAATGCGCACCGCTGCCGAAGCGACGGAACTTTCTTCGCCCGGAGACGCTGTCCGAGGGTGCGGCGCCTGCGAATATATCGGATGGCGAGGCTGCTTTGCTCCGAACAGAGCGTTTCTGCGCACAAGATGCCACGGTCGATCGGCTGCCAATCGAACAGGCCCGCTTTGGGCTCTTCATTCCTGGTCTTCTCCAGCATATCGAGATGACTCTGGTTGCACAAAGGCTGTGCGCCACCATTCTGAGAACTGTCCAATTCACCGACCTTGGACTCGTCATCACGGCTATCAGCTGCCCCTCGGCACAGTGGGTCACTAACTACCAACGGCTGGAGTTCATTGGCGACTCGGTGTTGAAGTTTGTCGTGTCACAACAGCTGTTTGTCGGCCATCCCAGCTGGCACGAGGGATATCTAACTCGGGCGAGGGCCAAACTCACGTCAAACGACACCTTTGCTCAAGCCGCGGTGCGGTTAGGGCTGGACTCATTCATTATCGCCGAGCCAGTTCGCGCCACCGGCAAATCCTACTCCCACCCTCGCATCTCCGACACGAGACCAAGAAATCCGTCGGCGGAGAAAAGGGAGCTCAGCTCCAAGACGTTAGCCGACGTGGTCGAAGCTCTAGTCGGTGCTGCATATGTTGACGGTGGATTCCCTCTGGCCCGGGCTTGTATGAAGGTCTTTCTCCCCGACACTGAGCTTGAGCCTCCGGAGGTTGAGCCCAGCGCTAGGCCCCAACTCCTGTCTAACAGTGGGACCAAATTGACCAACTTTATCATCGCCAAAGTAGAGATCATGATTGGGTATGAGTTCCAGGACAAAGGGCTCCTACTCGAGGCACTGACCCATCCTACGTGCGAGAGAGATCTGCAGACGGAATCGTACCAGCGGCTTGAATTCCTCGGAGACGCCGTGCTGGACATGTTGGTAGTCTCGCTCCTCGCGACGGAGAAGGTCTCTGTCTCTCAAGGCGACATGACTCGGATCAAGGCGGCTATGGTCAACGGCCACTTACTCGGCTTCTTCTGCCTCGACTTCAGTACGGAGGAAGAGGTGACGGACGTTGAAGAAGGAGGCATGGGCATGGGCATGGGAATGAGAGGTGCTGACATGGCAAAGACAGGATTGCGGCATGGCGCCAAGGGGAACGGCGTGTTCCAGTTCCAGACCAAAGTCCGCCGTGAGCAACGATACCTGTGGCAGTACATGCGCTTCCACAATCAAGAGCTCGCGATGGCGCGCGAACGCAGCCTTGCCCGCCACCGCCAGCTACAGGGGGACATTCGGAGCGCCCTGGCCACGGGCCCCTGCTACCCCTGGGTTCTGCTCACTCGCTTGAACCCGGACAAGTTCCTCTCCGACATGATCGAAAGCGTCATTGGCGCCATCTTCCGCGACTCGCGCAGCGACCTGCAGCCGTGCCGCCGCTTTCTTGACCGCATCGGCCTCGCGCCATACCTGCGCCGCGTGTGTGTGGACCGCGTCGATGTCGAGCATCCGCGGAATGCTCTGCAGCGGATTGCGGGGTCGGAGCCAGTCCAGTGGACGGTAGGTGTGGAACGGGAGGGAGAAGGTGATGACGAGCGAGAAGGTGAAGGTGACCATGACCATTTCCATGGCCCCCCGTCCCACCTAGACCAAAATCCCTACAAGTACCACTGCACCGTGAGTGTGAATGACGAGCCCCTCGCCTGCGTGGCTGGGTGTCTGACCAAAGAGGAGGCCATGGCCACTGCGGCAGAGTGGGCAAAAAACCGGATGGTCGAGAGAAGAAAGGAAAGGGAAGGGAGTGGCCAGGGCGAGCCAGGCCAGATCGTTGGGGGGATGTGATGATTGAGGGTTGAGGGTTGAGGGTTGAGGGTTGAGGGTTGAGGGTTGAGGGTTGAGGGTTGAGGGTTGAGGGTTGAGGGTTGAGGGTTGATGGTTGAGAGCATGGTTGAGAAGAGCAGTCAGTGTCTTCACCAAGACAAAGTTGCCAAGCGATGTAGCGGCCTCGGCCGCAGCCTTGTCTATATCATTTTCTGTTTGGTATCTATTCATGTAGGCGGGACTTGCCTTCCTCACGGCCGATATTATTTCATTTCGTAGAAACAAGGAACCTTTTCACCAGACTCTAAGAACGAGAATGAGAACAAGAACAAGAAAGAGAGCGAGGACGAGAACGAGAGCGAGAACAAGTTACTCCAGAATCAAAACTACTAATCAAGTAACTACACACATACATACATATATACGTATGACCAAGGTAATCAAGTAATAAACACAACCAGCACTCTCTAATCTAGTTCCACCACCACCAGCCCATGGCCCATCTACAGCCTACAGCCTACAGCCTACTTCACACGTGCCCTCCCTTCTCCCTTGCCGCAAAAACAAGCCAGTAGGACGAAAGACAAACAGTATGAGAATTACTTTTCAACTACTTCTTCTACTCTATCATCCAGTCTATCAGTCAGCATCCTATCGTCGACTACATGTCCAATCCAAAGGTTCTAGGTTTTCACAGGCCTACGGACGTATATAGACATGGCCCTACATACCTAGCTGCTCATTGGAAATATAATGCGAGCCCCCGGCACATCGGTACCCCGTGGCCTGCTTGATCCAGCGAAACCCGGCCACACACACCCCCATCTGCCGCAACTTGGCCTGGGCCGCCTCTTCTTTCCGTCGTTCCTGTTCCCTCGCCTTCCTCGCCTGCTCGAGCCGAGCCGCGATCGCCACCTGCTCACGCCATTCGAGTTCGCGCCGTAGCCGCTCCTGCTCCAACAGGCGACGCGCCTCGGCGATGGATTCTTCTTCCTCCCGTCTTCGCGCCTCCTGTTCCGCCGCGGCCTTTGTTTGTAGCTGCTCTTGGGCCTTTTGCTCCTGGTCCAAGAGCTCGCGGTGCTGATGCTCGCGCTCGTCGGCGGCGTGTTGGTCGCATTGTAGTTGAGCCCAAATCTCATCCGAGACACCAGGATCACGCTCGCACCCTGGAGTTTGATGGTCGGGGTTTACCGACGGGCCGACCTTTGCAGACAGAGGAGCAACCGACAGCTTCTGATGGGCAGTGGCGGCCGTATTGACGTCGAGATTGAACGCAGGGGGCATCGGCGCGGCCTGATGTGGACTCTGCTGGCTAGGCTGCATAGGGAGGGTGGGATGCCGCGACGAAGGTATCGACTGCTGGCGGCGTTCACGCTCCGAGACCATCTGGCGGAACACCAACAAGACCGTGTCCTCCGTGATTTCGAACCTGAATTGGCCATCTGCAGCAGCTGCGGCTGTGGTGCTGGAGAGGACTTTGTTCGTAACGGACTTGGCCAGGGTCTTGACGTCCCGGGCATTTCCCCAGGCCGGGAGCTGAGCGAGAGTCTTGAACAGCTGGAGAAGCGTCTCCTTGAAGGTCTCAGAGCGCGCGAGTACTGCTGCGCTGTCAAGCTTGTCCCCTTTCCTCAAACATTGTTGAAACAACTCGAGGCATTGCTTCGGTGAAAGGTGCTGGAACGTGATGGTTTCCGGAAAGCGGCTGGTGAGCCCGGGGTTGGCCGACATCAGACGATCAATGTCGTTGTCATATCCAGCCAGGATGACAATCAGCTTTTGCGCAAACTTCGGCTTGGTCAGGCAGTCCACCAGCTCGTCCATGGCCTCCTGGGCAAAGTGGCCTTCTGCAAGCCGATATGCCTCGTCGATGAGGAGAACCTTGCCCAATGCCTTTTCCAACAGTTTCTGCGTCTTGGGCCCGGTTTGACCCACATACTGCCCGACAAGATCTGTGGCCGAACACTCGACCACCTCGGCGGTGGCTAGGAAGCCCATATCATAGAAGATCTTGCCCATTCGTCGGGCGGTGGAGGTCTTGCCGGTGCCTGGAGGACCCCGGAACAGAAAACTAAAGGGAATCTGCTCCCGGGGATCCATGTCCAGCTTTTTCATGTTGGCCACCGTCCTCTGGTAGCCCTCGAGCTGCTGAATCAAATCTTCGCAACCGACCACCCCGTCGAAGAGTTTTCGGCAGTTGGTTGGCCCCTGCTCTGCTCTCCTGAAGTCAGGGTCGAAGTCGAGAGCTTCCAGGACATCAATGCTCTTTGTTTGCCTCGAAGACAAACGTTTCTGATGCTCCATCTTGGCCCGATCAAGAAGGATATCAACTTCGCCGGCATTGCCGAAATGCGGCCTATCCCGGGCCAGGCCCAGCCGGGCTCGAACCACCTTCTTCGCTTCCGGGGTCACGCCAAAGCCAATCTGGCCCAACTTCAGGTCCAGGATGGTCTGTAGATCATCGTCGGTGTAGTCCTCGAAGTAGAAGGCTGAATCCATGGGAAACCGGCGGGCAAGCGCCGGATTGACATTTTGGAACATGGTCTCCATCAGATCCTTATACCCGAGTAACAGCACGCACCGGTCGTCTCCCGGGACACTTTGCACTTCGGCCACAATCGTGTCGACCACCGCGGCCTTGTAGGGATCCGTACCTGCACCCGATGCTCCCCCGGCAGACGCAGACGAAGAACCGCCGGAGAGCATGTATGCCTCATCAATGACTAGCACTTTGCCGACGGTGGACGCCAGAATTCCTCGTGTCGTGCTTTCGGACGCGCCGAGAACATTTCCCACAAAGTCGGAAGGGTTCTTGACCACAACTAATCACGTCGTGTTAGTTTCTCGTCCAACAAGGGCAAAACATAGAGACCACACCAACCTTCTCCGCTCGACAAGAATCCCATGTCCGCCAGAATTTGGCCATATAGTTTGGCTACCGTTGTCTTTCCCGTCCCCGGGTTTCCCACAAACACTTTGTTGAGAGAATACTCAACCAGTGGCTTTTCCTCCAGTTCGCGCCCATAATTGAACTGTATGGTATCGAGCAGTGAACGAACCGCCTGCTTGACGCTTTCCAGGCCGGTCAACTTTTGCAACTTGCCCCACGCTGCGTTGCCTTTCAACACCGCGCCGGGCTCCGGGCCGAGGAGGTCCTCTTTGGTTAATAGCATGTCGTCCGGTCTTGCCCCTGCCCGGCGTTCGTGTTGGAGTCGCTTCGCTTGACGATCGGCTATGCGCGAAAACTCGTTATGAACCGCCCGAGCGTTCCCAAACCCATCCCGGCCCCGGCCCCGTCCGATCCGGCGAGAAACGATTCGCATGTATAGGCCGCCAGGGTCGCCTTCAATCGTCATCCCCCCGCTGTATTTGCGGTCTATGCGATCGCGGAGAATGCTTTGTAACTCGGCATCCTCGTAGTCGCGGAACTGGAATTCAATGGGGAACCGGCTCGGAATGCCTGGGTTGTGGGCAAAGAAGGCCTCCATGTTCTTGCTATAGCCGGCAAGAATGAAGACGACCTTTCCCGTTAGATTTTCCACTTCGGCGAGCAGGAAATCCAGCACTTGGCTCCCGCCATAATTCTGCCCCGAGACAAGCTGATACGCTTCGTCGATGAAGAGAGCGCCACCCCCGTTGTTGCATATCGCTTCCAGGTGCTTTTTGCAGCCTGGGATCCCATCACTGGCCAAGCGTGACCCGGATGTTTCGACAAAGAAGTCGCCGGGGATGACGCCGACCGCCCCGAGAAATTTGGCGTACAGGCGGGCGACGGTGGTTTTCCCTGGATGATGTGAGATTCCGCGCGACCAAAGGGGGGATGGGAGGGAGGTTGAATGCTCGAGGAAGAGACGACATATACGTACCTGTGCCTGGGTTTCCTAGCAGAGCCGCGCCAAACCGTTCATCCTTCAAGCTGGTGTTTTGCCGAACCACCGTGTCGACTTTGGCTTTGATGGACAGAAACTTGTCTTTGACCTCTTCAAGCCCAATCATCCGCATGAGAGCATCCAGACTTTTGTTGGATTGGCCTTCCATCGTCTTCTGCCGCTCCCACTCGTCGCGGGCAGCAGAAGGACTGGACCTCATTTGCGAGGCTTTGGGGGGCTTCGTTGGCTTTGGATCTTGTGCCTGTGCCTGTGCCTCTGGTGGTGTGGGCACTCCGGCCGACAAGTTTGGAGGTTTGGATGCCGATGTCCGGACTGGAAGCTGAGGCTGAGGTTGTCCGATGAGCTCCGCCTTTTCCATGAGATCGTTAAGATCTTGTATCTTTTGTGCCAGGGCATTCTGCCGTTCTTTCTCTTCGGCGACGTCCTTCATTATCTGTTTCTGCTCCTCGATGCGTTGTTGAACTTCAGCCAGTTGTTTGGCGTGTTCTCGTTGGCGTGCCTCTCGCTTGCGCTCTAACTCAAAATCTCTTCGTCGCTTTTCATCTTCGATCTGCTTCTCACGCTCACACGTGGGGCAGGAGGCCGGTGCGCCCTTGTGGCATCTCCAGCGGTATCGATGTTTCTGTGGACACGTGCTTTCGATAATGGTGTTACAGTCCATCTTGGAATGATCGGAGAGTTGATGACACCGCTGGGGGCAGGTATGAACACCACACCGCAGCAAACTCGTGCATGGATCAGCACAGCCTCCATCCGGACACTCAATCTCAAATTCCTGAGGGTTTCGGATGATGGCTGTTCGGCTCGGATGTCTCTCACACTTGACAGGGAATCCGTCGTAGACCTGTCCACGCTCGGTCAGGAGAGTTAACAAAGGTTCCCAGGCCGTCTTTGCTTTGCGGCTCTTGCGGAAGGTGTTGAAATTGCCAATGACAATCAGTCCATTTCGTGCTCGAGAGAGGAGCACGTTCAGACGTTCGGGAGCAGCCATGAATCCCACATCTCCTTCGCCGTTGCTGCGGGTAAGTGAGGCAATCACAATGTCCCTCTCCTCTCCTTGGTAATTATCTACCCGCGTCAGTACACGATGAAAGGTCGAAGATTCGTGGAACTCACCGATCGTAGAAATCAAGATGGGTCGTTTCTTCATTTGAGCGCCGGCCGGGGCGAGGAGGCCAGCACGCACAAGGTCGTGCGAATCCAAGTCGTTCAACACCGGGTCATTGTTCTTGCTCAACTCATTCCGGAGCAGAAATAGTTGTCCCAGGTACGGCACCAGGACCACAATTCTTTCCGTTCCGTAGCCTTGCTGGCCCAGGTACCGGACGCACTTGAGGACCATCTCCACCTCAAACGGGTTCTCTTTGCTCGCTTTCGCCGTTGGGTCGCGCCGCTCCGAGACACCATTCAGGTCAAGCTCCGGTTGCTCGTGATTGACAAAAACGACCGTGTTCTGCAACCCTCGAAGTGCTGGCCGGTTCTGCGTCTTCTCGGCATCCTGGAGGTCTGGATAGGTCAGGTGGCGAATCAGTTGGGAAATTCCAGGACGCATGCGGTGCTGTTTGAGAAGAGTGGTGTGTGGGTATCCCCGGAGCACCAGTCGTTCAAACATGGACCGGTTGAGGTCGAACCCGTCGCCCTTCTCGACCGTCAAACTGTAGTTGTTGACTTTGGGCCGAAGCTGCTTGTGATCGCCGATCAAGACGAGTTGCTTCGTATTCCGCGTCATCGAAGTCAGAATATGGCTTTCGAGGATTTCTCCCGCTTCTTCAACCAAGATGACCCCAGCATTCGCTGCCTCCAATGCCCCGGCATATTTCGCGGCGGCGGTGGTGGTGCACGCAATCACACGCTTTTGCTGGAAGATATCCGCGTCCTTGGTTTGGTGGAAGTAATCCTCAATGTCGTGTTGAGTGCGGTTGAAGTCCTTGAACAGTCGTGCAATCTCTTCTAGGTCGTCCCTGAGAATATCTTTCCTCCAGTTGTCAACTGATTCTCGCCGACTTTGGTTAGACATTTTCCAGATACCATCATGTTCCTTCTTGACCAATTTCCGAAAGACCCCGGCGTCGTGCCCATTCATCCAGCAATCCAGCAAGTAGTATCGATGGACCTGCTTGCCGCCCTTGCCCACGCGCTGCATACCGTCCTCTTGCTCTGGCACAAGAAAGGCCTCATAGAAGTCCTCGGCCGAGAACTCAAGATGCTCCATCAGCTCAGCTCTGGTAATGTGGCGCTGGAAGCGTGTTAGCTTTTCTCTCAAATTCCGCTCCAACTCTCTCAACCGATCCTTTTGCTCGTAGATAAATGCCCAAGGACGTCGTGTATTAGTTCTACTCCCACTGGAGCTCTGTTCGGTCAGACCGAGCTTTTTGGTTCTATCCGAAGACTTTGCTCCCAGTCTAACCATGGATTTGTCCGGGATGCCAATGTCCATAAGGTCCTCGAGGAACTGGTCCAGTGCATGGTTGGTGTAGCATATTACCAGAATGGTCTGAGTTGTATAGTCGTGTAAGATTTTGGCCAGAATAGCCCCCATGAAGGATTTTCCCGTACCTGCAGGAGATCAAAGTTAGGGTTAGTGTACAACATTTTAACAGACGGCTGCGAACTACCTGGTGGCCCTTGAATGAGGCTTAATGCAGATCCCAAGCTCGCCAGTAGCGACTCCAACTGCGATGGGTCTAGGGAGATTGGCTTCGATATCCCCAAAACACGGTGGATGTCGTGACCTTTTGTCTCCCTAATCTGCTGGACCAAGTGGGATAACGTGTAGCTCACATCCAGGGTCTGGACGGAGGGTGTTGGAGACAACAGAGCGTTGGAAAGAGGGAACTCGGTTTTTTCCTGCAGTCTGCGAAGAACGGGTTCATAGGCAAACACGGCGGTGTCCACCACAATGAAATGGAAAGGCTGATGTCCCTGCACAGCTCGGGCGAGCACCCTTGTCACGGCATCCGCTTCGGCGACCTGGAGGACAAGAACAGGAATCTCCTTCAAAAGCAAGTCTTCATTTCGGTCGAGGGAAGCAAAAGCGACAATCTCTCGGCCCTGCATCAAGCACCCGAAAGACTGGTGCTTCAAGAAAATCTTGTTTTCCTTGATGAACAAACGTCTGTTCGACTCCGACATTGCTGATATGGGCGGCAGGCCTTTTTGGCAGAGGAAGGTCAATGAACAAGGCTTGCGTCGTATCTCAGTCCCGCAGTCTAGGCCTTTGAAACGAAGTCCATGGATTTCAACTGCCGATCTTCTTCCCTTTCTCTTGCCCTGGGATATTTGCAAATCATTCCGCAACTCTGCTAAGAAATCCTCCCTCAGGAGACGAAATTGGTTGTCGTAATGCGTCGCGGGCCGGAGGTGTGGTTCTGTCTCGTACACCTCATCTGCTTTTCGGTAGAAGGGTGTCTCCGTCGATGAGATTTCATCCGGGGTGGGAAGGATGGCGATCTTGCGGAAATCCTCAAAGTCGTTGTCGTGTCTCCCGCCGGGGTTGTAGTCGTCAAGGCGGGGAATGCCGGTTGATTTGATGTTGAGGATGTTCTGGATCTTGTAACCGAATGATCGGACCTCGTGGAAGGGAGAATCAAGAATAGAGCGATCCTCGACCGCTGCTTTGGCTGCTCGGTTGATCTCGTCGGTGGAAGAAGGCGAGGTCACCAACTGCAGCAGCAGCCAGGCAAATGCGACCTCGGACCCTTCGGTCAGGGCTTTTCGGCCGTGTGCTCCAACAAGAGCATTCCAAAACGCAGGAGGGTCAACCACGGTCAAGATGATTTTCCGAAGAAGTAGTCCATTGCCGAGTTGCTCCACGCCAGGTGCCCTCAGGTAGGTCAGGAAATCCGCCGCTGGTCCGTTGAGAAAGGGCTCAGAAATGTCAAAACGCAGGCTGTTCTGCAGCGCCTGGATGGCGTGCGAACTTGAGGCCAGTTTCTCGACACAGCGAAGTGCATCTGTCTGACCACACACGGCCTCCAGAAACAGTTTAGCATCAGCAGTCTTGTCTACCTTCTTCTTCCCTTGCTCAACCTGGCTGAAATGCTTTGACAGCCTTGCGGACCTGTCAGACATGATGGCTGGTTCAACGATCCTGACTCCGCAACCGTGGTGCTTGGGGTGGAACAGGGGAAGTGTACAACTGATTTAGAGGGCTGAGTTTCACTGGTGATAGGATAGGAGGGTGCCTTTTGGTCAAGAGTCTGAGGCAGGAGATGAAGTTGACAAACAACAAGCAGGCAAATAGGCCCCGCAGCTCCCCCACCTCGCACACTGCCAGCGAACTATCCATGTTCTTTGTTTGACTGGGTGTACTTTGCCTGAGTCCTTTGCTCTCGCAGAGCACCATCCTCAGCAACTCGCCGTCACCATGTCCAAAGCGTCCAACACATCGTTCTGGAGAGGCTCTGGGAGCTGGAGAGGATCCTCCTTCCCACCATCTCGTGGATTCCCACAGCGAGGCACATGGAGAAAGAGCGAAGAATCAAAGCCGCCAACGACAAAGACAACGACACCGCCTCCTCGAGGAGAACTGGTGACGGAGCTCAAGGCAGAGGAGTTGTCACTCTCTGAACACAACCACGATCCGAAGATCAGAGACTGCAGTTATGTTGCCTCGTACAGTTGGGCAGATGGAGAGAGCCCAAGCCCGACGGTGATCATTCCTGGTGCAGTATCCTCCAACCTCGGGCTGGCCATTCGTTTGGTGTGCTGACTAGTTGTCCAACCTAGGAAAACCTCCTCTCTGGGCACCTCCCGCGGTCAATCGCCGACTGGAGCCTGACAAGGGCGACTTCTATCGTGATCCGAATGCCGCCCGCTACCCGTCCTATCCCATGGAGCCGGCCATCCAAGCCGTGTTGAAGCAGCATCCCCAGTTTCCCACGCAAGACATCGACATTGTCACCTGCACCAGCGCCTTGGGGAACCTGTCTCGGTTCGCGCGCGGCGTGGAAAAGGAGTTCAGGATTATCTTGGCGAGGGTGGGGACGACGGTGTTCCTGGTGCGCAGAGAGAACTCGCCGACCGAGCTGATCTCCGATATCCAGGGTTACGGCCACAGCTTCCCCGACGAATACACCAAGTGGGAGAAAGATGTCGAGACCTCGGTGTCCCATCAGAGAATTGTCCAATACCGGTTGGGGGGGCTACACCTGCTGGTTCGCTTTGGAGTGGACGGATACCTGAGACAGGAAAGCGCGAGTCCAGACCATCAACCACCAGAGGCGACTTCCTCCATCGAGACACTCGGCGCGAGATCAAATGGCCATGCGATTGCCACAGCTACCGGCAAGGGAGGCCTTCAGATCAAGGCAGGCGGCCGTCCCATTCCTCAGGAAAGCATTTTCGACCTGAAGACCCGCTCTCAATTCGACCACTTGACTCGAACAATCAAGAAGGAGATTAACCTGACCGAAATCCTACCACGGCTTTGGATGGCCCAGGTTCCGAATCTGATCGTGGGGTATCATGATCGTGGACGGTTTCAGGATATCCGTGTCCAGGACATGCGCCCGGAAATAGAGAGCTGGGAAGTGGAGAACGCTCATCATAATCGCCGACTGGCATCGTTGCTGCAGGAGCTGGTTGAGATGGCCAGAAATTGCCGCACTAATCTCGAGATCTGCCGGTCCGAATCGGGGCCTCTGGAGATCAGGCGTCTGGCGGACAACGGAGTAGAAGTGCTTCCTCCCCACCTCCAAGACTGGTGGCTGAGAGGGCCTGAGCATGATCAAGAAGCCACTCCGCAGGAAGACTCTTCAAATCTTGACAAGTTGTTGGGTAATCATGTTCGTTTGGGTACCGGTTCTAGTCCTAACGTTGCAGACGAGGAACATAACGTTGCAGACTACGAGCAACACTGGCAGGCAGACGAGGAACATAACGTTCCAGACTACAAGGAACACTGGCAGGCAGACTCGGAGGTCTACTCGGACGATGAGTCGGAGAAAGATTACACGGCGTGTTCCGAGAGCTGCGAGTATTGCGGCCACTGTTTGTACTGATATGGGCATCCAAAATATCAAACTAGATTAGAGTCCGCATTCAGAAGATCATACTAGAGTGAGAGTCTGCAATCTGAAGATCACACCAGAGCAGAGAGTCTCCATTGAATGTTACCGAGATTTGTTCTAGCTCACGCCAGAATCAACGCTCTGCTTCTACTTTACAGCTGACTTTGCGGTTCAAGCTGGATCATGCAAGCCCACGCGGCAAACTGCTGTGCCATATCTACCGTCGCGTCGATATGTCCTGCTCGTGCATGATCCTCAGGCACAAGAACCTCCGATGACCGATGTACAGATCCTTTGAAAGCATATGGAGGTAAAAGGTGGCCGATGTAGAGACCCTTTAAAAGTATACGGAGATAAAAGGTAACCGAAATACAGAACCTTTGACAGCATAGGGAGGTAAAACGTGGCCGATGTAGAGACCCTTTGACAGCATATGGAGGTAAAAGGTGGCCAACAGGTCCTCAGCCCGCAGACCTTGAAAGGATAGGCCGACCAGACTCCCGAACCCCGAACCCTCACACGACCAGGATGACGCCCACGTCTGGTCTGGCGACAGCGACAATGCCCGTCGGGTGGCTTCGGTGTCGTTGTATGGCGCATAGATACACAAAGTCATGCGGTAGGATCAGCGCATTGAGGTCTTGAAGAACAATGTGGTGCCGTGGTACAGTAGCCGGGCTGGAAGACGAAGATCTGTCATCGCGGAGATGAGTCGGGATCATACTTTATGTACTCACCTAGTACGGAGTAGGTGAAGCTCGATCGATTTGGTCGGTTGTGAAGCAATGCAATGCAATACAATGCGATGGGTGAACGTGTCAAACTTTAGGTAGGCACTGACTTGGGCATTCCCACTCCCAGCCTTGTTCTTTAACCAGGAGGCTGGTATAGGCACAATAGGCACACCTATATAGTCTGGGCTCCCCCCATACTCCTCTAATCGAGAAGATGGCATCTCAACCTTTGACATAAACTACTACTCATACCCCCACTAATGCCCTTTCAGTCTCAAAGCGCGTCATGTCCACTTCATCGCCCTGGGCGGCTCCCTCCCTCACGTGCCATGTTATACGTACAACAACCGTGGCGCCAAAGATGCCGTCGACCGTTCCATGTGGTTGTGGTCCAGGATGTGTTTGACTCCCACACACAACGCTTAAATTCCCACCTTGACCGTTTGGGTCTGGCTATTCAGGCTGCCGATACCGGTCCCGGTCCCGGTCCGGTCTGGATGTTGATCTGGATGCAAAAACTCCACTGGGGCCTGGTGGTCTTCGACGTAGCCGACCCCTCCGAGGGATTTATCTATTACATACAGGGTCAGTTTAGATGATCGTGGTCACAGGGAGTCAGTTGAGATAGTTGTGGTCAAAGGGGGAGTTAGTTGAGATAGTTTGGTTCATAGGGGAGGGGGTAGATGCCACAGCGGAGGGGGTAGAAGCAAGAACCAAGCATAGGCCTAGGCCTCAACCATCCGGCATCCTTGAATACTTACAGTAGCCGGTAATCTTCAGTATATCGTCGGGCAACTTGCGGGCCACTTCGACCGGTGTGGAGAGGACTTCTTCCTGGTGTTGCCTGAAATAGTCACGCTGACTATAAATTAAACACAACACAGTGTCAGTGGTCGAACTGGCCATGACACGAATACGTAGATGGCCGTGCTGGGAGAGATGATTTCTCGGGGTTGAGGATGTTCTGGGAGATGATATCTTGGAGTCTGAGGATGTCCTGCAATACGTACCCGAAAACAGCAAAAAGCGTGCGGAAGGCGTCTGGATCGCTCGGGTCGCATTTGTTCTCCGAGCCTGCGTGGTAAGTGGCTGCAAAATCAAAAATATCAGTACCATAAACAAACATGGGGCCCCACCATCATATATGAGTGGGTAATGTACTGCAACAAAACCAGTGCCAGTACCAGTACTCAGGTAATAGGTAATGGACGGCAATGGACTAGTACTAGTACTCCACTTACAACCAAGAGTGAACAGAGCAGATCCTGGTTCCATTTCCGCATAGACAGCCTCCTCCAGCTGGGGTGCGCGGTCCTCTCCCCAGAGATGACTGCCTGGAATCACTCTTGTCGCGCCGTTCTTGACCGTGGTTTTGGATGCGGCAATCAGGCAGCCGACCATGACGGTGAAAAGAGGATTTCTCGGGTCCGGCCGGATTTGATATGCCATTTGATCCTGGACACCGACAATGAGAAAAGTTGAATTCGATACGATCGAGCCGTCTAGAGTTATGATAATGTGTCATGACTCCGACTCTGACTTACTCTGTGTAGTGGTTGAGCTTCTGCTCCGGGGACCAGTCGAATGGCGGTGGTTGCATTCAGCATGTAGCCACTCTTCTGGGGGACCAATAAGTTTCCGGTCCACGAAGCGAATTCGTCACTAGAAAAGTGCTCAACTCAGCTCATCAAATCATGCCGTAGTATGCCAGCAATGATTATATGCATTAGGGGTAGGCCAGCGATGGAAAGTGAAGGTGTCTTGGGTATGCCAGTAATGAAAAGGGAAAGTGCCTTGGATATGTAAGGAAAGGAAAGGTGTCTTAGGTATGCTGGGAAAGGAAAGTGTCTTGAATGCCAGTAATGGAAAGTGAAAGTGTCTTGGGCATGCCGGCGATGGAAAGGAAAGTGTCTTGAACATGTCAGGTACGTGGCTCTCACCTCAAAAACCGATCCATTATACCATTCCAGACGGGCGACCGAAGAATCTGGGTAATTTGCTCTGGCATTTTGCCCAAAAGGCCCTGTTGTCGCGATCATGGTCAAAAGTGAACACAACGGGTTTTCAGATGCCAGGACGTCTCGAACACAACGGTTTTACTCAGATGCCAGGATGTCTCTATCTTCCCAAACAACTGTGGGCAATACATACATAGACACGTTGTGAACCGGGCGAAAAGAACTTCTCGCCCAGCTCCTGGTGGGTTGCTGTAGATGTGTACAATGGACGACTGTCGAAGTATGGCTCAACTGTTGGGGATTAGCAAGGGTGTTTCCTCCGGATATGTCATGGTACATAGTACATGATGGTGTTAGGAAACAGGGTCCATAGTACATAGTACATGGTACATGGTGTCAGGGAACAGGGTGTTTAGTACATAGTACATGATGGTGTCATGTCCATGGTACATAAAATGGTGTTAGGGACAGGGTGTTATTACTAACCTGCTGTCAAGCATTCATGCAGAAGCTCGGACGAGAGGAAATTCGAGACAATGACTCCGCCATCTCGTGCAATAATGGCGTTGATGGTTTCCAGAGGCTCGGAAGCGTCAATGGTGACAATTGACCTCGGTGCCATGTTCAGCAGTCAAATGATGGAAGGGTTGCTTTTCGAGATACTGGTATGAGCGGAGGGAAGTGACTTATCGAGATACCGCCAGAGATAGGCGGAGGGAAGGCAGGTATCTGTTGTATGTTGGCAGTTGTATGTTGGCAGTTGTATGTTGGCTGTTGTATGTTGGCTGTTGTATGTTGGCTTGGTGTTGGTGTTGGCAGTTAGACCCTTTATCTATATGTGAGCAATAGTATTGATGTTGGTGTTGATGTTGGTGTTGATGTTGGTGTTGATGTTGGTGGTGTTGATATCGGGCTTGTGCTTGTGATTGTGCTTCTTTGCCTGATCTTGATCTTGATCTTGATCCTGAGCCCAAGGAAGGCAGAGAACGATGCCGAAGAACTGGGTCAGAGGTGGGATTTACGTTTATATCACAATCAGATGAGAACAAAATGAGTAGGTAGGTAGGTAGGTAGGTACGTAGGTACGTAGGTATGTAGGTAGTGTCTGACCACCAGTCTGGTCGAATCCAGTATTAGGGAGTGAGTGGACATGATCATTTCCTTTCTATGCCTGCGCCATTATGTTACTGTACGGATAACTCCGAGTTCGAGTTCAGGTTCGATGGAGTCGAGTCATCGCACCCAAAAATTAATCAATCAATCAATCAATCAATCAATCAACCTCCGGGAGAACAATCAACCAATCAATCAGTCAGTCAACCAATCAACCTCGGGGGTAGCAATCAATCAAACAAACAAACCATAGCCTCGGGGTTTTGAGACCCATGACATGAATGATGGGATCGAATAGGCCGTGATATGAACGTTCGGATCGAAAGCATGACATGAGTATTGGGATCGGAAAGAACCCCAAGAATTGCAATTGCAATTGCAATTATGTTTCCAACGAGCATCCATCTCTATCTCCACAGAAACCCCAACCGAAACCGGCCGCAATGATCCGAAAAGGAAAAAAAGGGGGCATGACATGACATGGCCTGTCGGCCGGAATATCATATGAATGTATGTGACCAGGTTCTCTCGTACCCATCTTAGATACTGTACGGATATAGGAATCTCACTACCTAGCCAAGGTACTAAGATATCCATCCATCCATATTCCGTACAGTATTCGTACAGTATTTAGGTTGTATGTCCGCCACACCGGGCAATAAGTGATTACTGTACTGTAACTCCCTCCCCATGCAATAAGTGATTCAATAACTGTACTGTCGCTCCCTCCCTCCCTACATGTAGACATCGGAGACAGCCGTGCCATGCCATGTCCAGTGGTCTTGTCTTATCAACATTGCCCAGGTGAGACTCGGGTATTCGGCCCGGCGGGAAAGTGGCCCCTTAAGCCCAGGCCACAAGGCTGTGAGTTAGTCACAGGCACAGGCACATACTGTACTGTTCTGTACTCCACTCCGTAATCACCCACGCCTCGGAACATATACCCGACCCGACCCAGGGACTATCATATTGTATCATATCGTATTATCGTATCGGATCGGCAGTCTAGGGCAGTCTAGAATATCTTGTGTATGGTATCTTAGTCTACAACATGTATGGTATCTTATCTACCTATACGCTGCTTCAGACTCAGATGGGTGATCGGACTATCATGTCATGTCATGTCATGGTGCTCTGCTGCATTCGATGTGCCCCTCTGCTAGACAACACTACCACTGTGGTCATGGTGTTCTGCTGCATTTGACGTGCCCCAGAAAAGTCATATATCCAACTATGGTAGTTGGGGTGTAACAGGCCTGAGGAGGCATCAATCATTCAGGTGGGAAGTGAGTATCTATCTGGTCTCCGGTAACAAAGAACCTGTCCCGTTACACGGGATCCCTCTACATACCCCTCCTGTCCAGGCTACAGTACCTTCCGTCCTGTGAGTTGACCCATATTTCCAATTTGGTAGCCTCCCACCCTCTCTGCCCCCCAAGACAAGACTACCATTTTGATCATGGTGCTCTGCTACATTCGATATCCCCCAGACAAGAGCCTAAGACTCCAACATGCTCGATAGCAATTCCTCTACAGAGGCACCAATACCCACCTCGGCCATGTGTGACAAGTAGCCGGAAAACCGGTCATTGGCCGAACACGACAGCACGGGAAACGTGGGTTGCGTGCATGTCAAACCCGACTCGGCCACCATAGTCAATGTCGCGTTACTGAGCATGTCAAATGCATCCCGGTATGGCGCCGCCGCAGCCCAGCGTTCGGCCATGATGGACAGAACCACCGCACAGGCCGTGCAGGTCGTGGTCACCTTGTCCAGCCGAAACTGGGCCCTCATGTCAGGACTGGACCACAGGCAATACAAGAACGTCACCCCTCCCAAGAACAAATTGTGCAGTCCCCCCCATGTGTCGTGGAGACGGTCGCTGACGTACAATTGCCGATACCCAGCGCAGAGGAGCGCCGACGACTGAGCACACTCCAGGTAGATCGCCGAGGGGACTTTGCGGTTGTTTCGTTGGTTCGTCAGGCGGTAGCGGTAGAGCAGGAGGATGGAGTGGTGATACATCATGTCAAACCATTCTCGCGATCCAAAACTGTTGTTCTGTGCGTGGCTGGACGAGAGTTGCGACGGTGAAGATTCAAGCCACTCTTCCAGCTCGCGCTTGAAGCCGGCCAGCAGGGAATCCGAATCCTGATCCGGTGTGGTAGTGGTAGTGGTACTGGTTGTGCTTGTCACGTCGGCTTCTGTGCCGACTTGGGCATGCACTGAACATTGGATCCGGGCCCAAATCTGTCGAAGGCGGATGGTATGGATCGCCGCTGACATGGTCGTGGGTGGATCACTGTTGGATATCCTTGGTTCGCATAGTAGGCCAGACACGGTGATGTTCTCGTCGTCAATGTCAAGGGGATACTATAGTTACAGTGGCCAGAGCGGTTAGAGTTGTCATCCGACCAGGTGGATGCTGAGTTGTGTCAACGCGTAACATACCTCGACGTCGATGTCGCTGTCCGTAATACTCTGTGGCCGCCCGAGAGTGATGGACATGGCCCGATCCAAGTTGTAGCAGCACCAAAACACACGCCTTCTGATCTGTGTCTTTAAGGGATTGGAATCCACTCGGTACCACGGGATCTTTCGATGGAGGCCCAACTCGGTACATTGTCGAAGAGCAAGTCCCGAGAGCAGCCTGTCGTACTCCAAGTTAGTCCTCCATACCAGGGCATATTCTGATAGCCTAGCTAAGGCTGAGAGTCCAAGATCGCACCATAATGATACCCCAACAGGGGATCGGATCGAATACATCGCACAACAAAGGATAGCCTGGATGGATTCTAGAGTATTGAGCTGCATGACATGCTCCATCAGGTTCTCCGCCGATGCGTACAGTCCCTGGGTCGCCACGTTAGTCCGACCTACCGTAGCTTTGAGACGAGAAACACTGCATGGATGCCAATAACATACCTCGGGGAGCGACCCGCCCGCCAGTGGCCCTGTCAGGACTCCGACTGCACACAACTGGTGAGGTCAGCAGATAAACAAACTGCGACCGGACTACAGCACAGCCTGAAAGGGGAACTGACCGCAAAGACAAAGAACGCTTTCGTCGGGTCGGGAGTATAACCGCTCTCACACGCTGTCATGACTTCTTCTTCCCACTGTAGGTAAGTCGGTCGGTGGAGGAATGGAAACTGTGGATGTACTTGTTCAAAGTAGGCCGATGTCAACATGCTCGTATACGCCCTACTCGGCAGCGGGGCTAGAGTCGCCCTTGCACGCGCTTGAACCGTATTATCTGCAATCCCAGACATGGTCATGCCGGGCCCTTTGGTGCGCACCGCCCGGAGGGAGGCAGAAAACATCTTGGTGAAAGAGTAGGCCGATGCAGCCCCAAAGTAATGAGGCTCCGCACCAGCCGAGCGCAGGCACAGCAATTCCAGATTGGAAATATCATGCCATTGGGGGCTGTCGTTGCTGGTGCTTTCTCCAAAGCCAAAGCCTGCATTGCCGCTGACAGGACTGACCGTGCTGCAGCTTGCGTCCCATCAGTCTCGTGAGTTTACAAGGAGAGTGTAGAGACCGCAGCTGACCTGTCGTGTACTGGAGGAGAACGAGAAGGAGAATGAGTGCGAATTTCGTCTCGAACCTCACTCCTTGTACCTTCGTCGGTGGCACAGTTGTCCAGTAGGTCTATGTCTGTGCCGGGTTGGAGTTGTCGGATCTTCCGTTCGAGGAAGGCCACATGGTTTTCCAGTAATGAGTTGTGCTTCTCCAGAGACTCCAGGTACCCTCGAGGGTGTCGCCGCTTGGTGGCTGGATCCTGACTGACACATGCTGCAGCCAGACCTTCAGTAAAGCTGCAGTACAGTACCACAAGCGCGTGGGAAAGTGCAGTACTGACTTCGGTTGGCTCTGAGACAATTGTTGCAGGAAGGTGTTTGGCCGTCACACTGGGCATGGACGTTGGTCAGCATAGCCATACACGTAGTCATACTGCAGCCATGGCTGGAGGACGTGGCACCTCACCTTCTGCTTCTTCTGCTGACATGCGACGCATGCCCGGGACACCCTGGTGCGCGGGACAGGGAAGCGTCGACCTGGTGATGGTGATGATGGCTGAGCAGCCTCAGACATGGCGATAAGCAGATTCGGGGCCAGCATCCGAAGTAGGGTGATCAAGGAAAGAAGGGCAGGTTAAAGTAAACGTTGACCGGGGGGTCGATGATTGAGTAGCAACGTTATGGCAGGAACATGATTGGCCAATGCACCCACAGCAGATAGCAGTCTGGATCCAGAGTTCGCCTCAGAGGACTGAGTAGATAACCGACCCTGGAAAACTCCGAAGTGGGTTCGATGGTGGTGGGCCGGAAGTATCCACAGCCTGACTCTTCAGCCTCCCCTCGACATCGAGATTGAGGCCATTCGGTCACTTGGCCTGGACATGACATGAACACCTCGTTTATCATCGGAACCTGGGTTTCGTTGACGCCCGTCTGCGATAGAGGGTAGAGGATATAGGCGGGTGGAGTGCATTGCATGTCAATACTAATATGCTGCTCTGCCCGAAGCCTAAGGCCCCTAGGCCTCATCTTTGTCTGTCGCATTCCTCTCCAGGGCCATTCATTCCCAGTCTGCAGCAGTCGACTTATTTGGCTAACATGGAGAGCTCCCTGGACGATGCCAAAGACTTCAGCAAGACCCAAGTCGACACCCTGGCTGTACCTGACATCCATATAGGCCAGGTGATAGTGCAGGATGCATCGCTTCATGGACAGTATGGCTTCCCTGGAGACGATGTCGAGTCGGCCCTGCGGCAGTACGCACCCAACACCGAACTGGAGAAGAAGACGCTGCGCAAGGTCGATTTGTCTCTGATCCCAATGCTCTGGCTGATGTGCGTGATGGCTTATGTGGATCGTAACAATATTGTCGGTTCTTCCTTCTTACATCCAACACAACTCATTGGCATCACTAACCTTGAACAGGGAAATGCGAATGCTGCTGGCATGAGTGAGGACATTGGACTTTCCGACAACCGTAAACTCGCCCAATTCCCTTGACAGTGCTCGATCCAACCGTTGCTGATGCCTATGCCTGCGCTAGAATATGCCCTACTGATCTCCATCTTCTTCATCGGATATCTCGTCTGGGAAGTGCCATCAAACATGATCCTAGCCCGCGTCCGCCCGTCGTGGTACATATCTGGACTGATGGCCGTGAGTCAACCATACCTAATCCCATCCTCAGCACCCGGTTGGATCACGTACTGATCTGATGGTATTGTGTCTTCTAGGCATGGGGCGCGGTATGTTGCGCAATGTCAAAAGTCAGGAACAGCCGCGACATCCTCGTGTGTCGTTTTTTCCTCGGCGTCATAGAGGCGGGCTTTTTCCCGGGCGTTCTTTATATCATGTCTTGCTGGTATAAGCGCAATGAGATTGGTAAGTCCAGTCCTCTGATCCATATCCCGGTCACGCATGTTCCATGGTACATTGCGTTTGCTCTGACTAACAATGGGACAGGAAAGCGATTCAGCTTGTTTTACACAGCCATCTGCTTTGCAGGTGCCGCGGCTGGTCTCATCGCAGGCGCCGTCATCTCGGGACTGGAGGGCACCCGAGGCATGGCTGGTTGGAGATGGCTGTTTCTCATCGAGGGCCTCGTCACCATCGGAGTAGCGATCGTGGCCAAATTCATCCTGATTGACTACCCCCATATTCCCACCAAGCGCCTGACGTCGCAAGAACGGGCCCTTTGCATCGCCCGCATCATGCACGACAAGCAGGAGTCGGAAGTCGGAAGAAAAAAACTGACCGTCTGGCAAAGCTTCAAGGCCGCGGTGGTGGATCTGCGCATGTATCTTTTCATCGCCGTCTACATTACGCAGAACAGCTCGACCAGCATCTCGTACTTTTTCCCCACCGTGTTGAAGAGCATGGGCTACACAGGCACTTCGGCACAGTGGATGACCGTGCCCATCTGGGCGGTGAGTGAAGTCTGTCCTTTCCCCCTTTCCGACAAAGCCTGACTCGTCGCAGACCGGCACGGCCGTCCTCATCGTCCTGCCTCTGACGTCTGACCGGTATGTGGAACGACGCTGGCACATTGTAGGCGGGCTCACTGTGGCCTGGATCAGTGCCGTGGTGGGTCTCACGTTGACCGGCCACGACAAAGTCCGCTACGCCTTTATGTGCTTGTATATCGGCGGCCTCTACCCCACGGCGCCCCTGATCCTGAGTTGGGCCTCAGAGACTCTCTCTCTGCCGGCCGAGAAGCGGGCGGTGGCCATTGCCATCACCAACAGTGTTGGAGCCAGCTCAGCAATCTACGCCAGTTACTTCTGGCCCAAGTCCGACGCGCCGCGGTACACCACGGGCTTTGCTTGTGTGACGGCCTTCATTGGAACCTCGTTGATCTTGACAGCATTGTTTCCCGTCATAGCTCGCATCCTCCCCAAGTATACCACCAAGGCCGAGCGCGAGTTGGAGATCGAACATGACCGCTGAGCTGGTGCCCAGTCACTTGGAGCTTTTGCTGCGCGGCAGAGTGCACGGCGTCGAGGCCCTCAAGGAAGACTTTCTGAGGTTCGTAGGGTCGGTCGTAGGCTTCCATCGTGTTCAGGTAGAGATTGTCGCCGCCAGTCTCGGACACTGAGAGACTCGCTGCTAGGAACGTGGTGCCGGGGGTTCCTGGTGAGAAAAACAGGACAAATCAAATCAGCTTCATTTCATTGCCATTTCGCTCAACCTTTACTTGTCATGACTTTTCTTCCCATATACTAGAACCCTTGTTGTAACGTATTGGAGGCATGAAATCTCTCTTCTCCGTGATTGCTGCTAACAATGACTTATTCGATGAATCCGCGCGATTGGCACAGTCGATGCGGTGGTATTCGTCCAATGGCGGTTCTTGCGTGATCGTGATGTAGGGAAGGTAACTGGTGAGCGGGTACTACACTATTTAGATTTAGATTTCAGGTTCTGTTCTTTGGATATGGAAAAAGGGCCCAGCAACGGGTCGAGAGAGAAAGACAAAACTTACGATAGTATAGTCTGCCTTCAACTGTTGAGGAATCTCCGTCGAACCGACCGGGTTCGTGGGGACGGGAGAAGTGTTTTTGGGAAATATAAAGTCCTTGGGCGGAATATAGCTCGTGTTGGTCTCGGTGATGCTGGTTGACGATATGTTGAGGCTGGTGTCGATGTCTCTCGTGGTTGCCGTCCGATTTAGAATCTCTATTTCTAATTATCTCTATACTGCTCGAGAAAAGTCGTGGGGTCCTTGTTTTCAGAGGGTATTCTCTGTCTCTCTCTCTCTACATATATCTACACAAGTACACATATTAGTCAGAGTCCTTCTCAAACAAGTATTAAGTCAATTCCAACGTCGTAAACCCACGGCCTCGTATCCCCACAGTTGATAAGGGGACCTAAGCCAACCTGTGGCGCGAGATCGTCCTTGACATGTTGGCTATAGGTAGTGTTTTCCCACGGAATACACAAATGCCATGTATGCAGTGTCTGAGATAGGCGAATTTGAGGCCACTGGTCCCACAGGGCTCACGAAGAGCCGTTCACACTGTGCGCGCACTATTCTTAGGTGAATACCGGGCCTACATAAGTCTTGTTTGAGTGAAAATACTGAAAGAGACGATTGCGAACGTGGGATAAAGTATATGTCAAGGGTGAGGATGAATAACATGGCTAAGGAGATCAACGAGGAAAATCGACGAATAATGAGCAGTCTTCTCAGTCCGAGTGCTCAAGGTTCGTAGGTACACCTAGTGAGCCCATTTGGATGATGGGTCCTCGAGACCAGACCAATCTTGGGCTTTGATCCACTCTTCCACTGTGCCGAGCTGCAGGTTGGGATCGAGCTGCAAAGGATGAGAGTCAGCAAGGTCACGAACATGTTTCGTGGCACGGCAAAAAGAAGTGATTTATATATACCTGGTGCGGGTCAATCAATGACTTGTCCACGCTGTGTCCAAAGTAGCCGTATTCAAGGCCGAAGTCGAATATGTGGTCGAGTTCCTCCCGAAAGTCCGGAAGTGCAGCATCAACGGAGCCGAACTTCAAGGTGGCCTTGACCCCCAGTGTCTTTGCCCAAAGGTCAACGAAATCCTCTCCCGAAATCCACTGGCGGTATGCAGCCAGATTTTTCCCAGCAGGTGCAGCCAGCAGAGCCTGGACAAACAGTCCTGTGTCTGTCTCTGCCGCCACCATGGGGTACACATAGTGCTTGGCAGGGAGGCGGAACTCGTAGGCCCCAGTGACTTCGTTCTGTAGGGTTGATGATGTTAGCGAGACTCAAGCCCACAAGCCCAAACCCTCAAGAGCGAGGTCGAACCAAGTCCCGAGATCGTACCTTCTTAGGGGTCATCCACGGATGTCCGATGAAATTCGACAGATAGAACCCCAATTGAACCAAGCTCGTCTTCCCCCACAACTCGGGATACTTCTCCTTTGCATACTCAACTGCGAACCCCTTTGCGTCAAAATGGTAGCCCTTGTCATACTTGCCGCCCGACAATCTCTTCAGATGGGGCAAAGTCGAATACACCAGCCGTTCCAACGTCGGGACCTGAGCAGCAGCATCGAATATGTTCTTGCCATATTGCAACTCTTCTTCAAAGGCCCATTCGATGAGCCTTTGGCCGGGCTTTAACTTGCTCTCGTTCTTCGGATTCAACAGTGACCATGAGTCTGTCAAGCCGAAGATAGCATGGGCACCATCGAAGGCTTGGGTCAGAGTAGACGGGTCGTTGATGTCGGCTTGGGCTAGCTCCACGCCTTTTGCCGCCAGGGTCTGGGCTCTCGAGCTGGACGGGTTGCGAGTTACACCGCGAATGCGCCAGGCTGGATCGGACAATATCGTCTCGATGACGGATCCCCCCTGGGTGCCCGTGGCGCCAATGACAACCAGGAGCTTTTTGGAAGACATCTTCGTGTCTGCCATACGATATGTTGTGTGGGTGGTGAGATATAGTCGAGTCTTCACTCTCTCTGGGCTAAAATGAAATTCTCGGGGCAATCCATGGTCCAACAGGGTCCTGTCTGATCCATACTCGGTAGTTATACTGACCTCTTCACCGTTGTTTTCCCCTGTCGTGGTTGTGGAGGATCGGACGAATAGTCCGTTTCGTCCGTTTCGTCCGTTCAGTAAGATACCGTCCGCTCGTGATCGTTTGTATTGGGTCGATCATCAAAGATGGCTTGAGAATGTCGGTTCTAATATGACTACTAGCCGTTTTTACAGAGTACTGCATGATTAAAGACCTACTGTAGAGTCGATATCAGGACAAGATCACCTGAGCATCACATGTGTCCGCCGGGCCGGATTAACATTATTGCGGGCTCCGGCTGCAGCTAAGCCTCTTAATCCTAAGCTCTAAAGCGGCGCATGTCTCTTGTTCCCGTAGCCAGCCTGCGCCCAGCCTGCGTTCCATGTGCCCGAGGCTGCCTTCAAGTTTTGGTCGCTGATGAGGCTTTTGCGGGGAACAGTAGGTTTGATGATCGTTTATTGTTGTGTATGGTGTATGATGCTGAAATTGACCGAAAGACCTGACCGGTGACGGTGTTGCTTCAAGATGTGAATCATTCCTAAGAGGTGATCATTCGTCGTGGCCAAAGTGTGAGAAAGTGTCGTCTGCTGTCCCAAGGTCATAATTTGTGCCTCGGTTCCCCGGTTCACGACACCGACACATCCCCACCGGCAACCTCGTGCGCAGTCGCTTTGCCGATGGATGGACTCGACCGTGTTGACCATATATTCTGACTTACTCTGTGCTGAGGTCTCTTCTTTCCCTTCCCTTGCATCATCTATTACCCCTTGGCCGGCCTATTCTTGCCATCGCCATCGCTCTCGCCGCGACTTCATTCCAAAAGAGATGGGTTTCAACACCGAGCTCACGCGCCGTCTGGGCATCAAAGGTATGACCTGATCATATTGTCACCAGTGCCGTTCTATTCTAACCATGAATAAATAGTCCCTGTAATCCAAGGTGGAATGCAATGGGTCGGGTACGCCGAACTTGCCTCTGCGGTGTCAAATGCTGGCGGATTAGGCATTGTAAGTGTGCCTGCAACGGACTCTCCAGTCAAGGATGCTGACTTTGTGCTGCAGCTTACTGCCCTTACTCAACCCACTCCCGAAGACCTGCGCAAGGAGATCCGAAAGTGCAAAACCCTGACCAAGAACCCCTTTGGTGTCAATATCACCCTGCTACCGACCCTCAACCCTCCTCCGTATCTCGAATATACTCAGGTTATCATCGATGAGGGTATAAAGATAGTAGAGACCGCAGGCAACTCCCCCGGCCCGGTTATCAAGAAGCTGAAAGAAGCCGGCATTACTGTCCTCCACAAATGCACCACAATCCGACACGCTCAGTCAGCCATCAAGTTGGGAGTGGACTTTCTTTCCATCGATGGGTTCGAGTGCGCCGGTCACGTGGGAGAGTCGGACATTACCAACTTCATCCTGCTGTCCCGAGCGAGGCAATCACTCAAGGTCCCGTTTATTGCCTCGGGCGGCTTTGCTGATGGCCAGGGGTTGGCGGCTGCTCTGGCTCTGGGGGCAGAAGGCATCAATATGGGAACCCGGTTTATGTGTACGGTAGAGGCGCCGATCCATGACAAGATCAAACAGACAATCGTGGAAGCTTCAGAACATGATACCCAGCTGGTCATGAGAAGATGGACCAACACTTCCAGGCTATACAAGAACAAGGCTGCGGTGGATGCCTACAATATCGAGAAGACCAGTCCCACGGGCAAGTTCGAAGAAATAGCACCATATGTGTCCGGCCAGCGAGGGCGACAGGTCTTCATCAACGGCGACAAGGACTTTGGAGTGTGGACGGCGGGGCAAGTGATTGGTCTGATTCACGATGTTCCCACCTGCGCTGAGCTCCTCTCGAGGCTGGAGAAGGAGGCGGTGGAAGCAATCGAGAGATCTCAGAAGCTCTATCAGCCTCAGAGCAAGCTGTGAGCTGTGATACACTAGAGAGGGGGAGTACGAGATGTCCGTGTTTGGCGCAACGGGGGTCCAATTTAGAGACGAGCTCAAGCTAGAGCAAGGGTCTATGTCGAGACCATCTATATACAGCATACTACAGGTAGACCAGGCAATGCTAGTATACTGTATGACCACGACTCGACCCATCTTACAGAGGAGAGTTTAGAGCCCGCCCTCTGTAGCACCCCAGACGGCCAGCGCTCCCCAACTCCCCCGCGATGTTCCGGCTCCGGGCCAAGAAATTCGACGGGATTCGGGAGACGGCGTCGAACTAGCCGTACAGAGTAAAATGTGGTGTCGATGAGACAAAGCAGCCCACGTCTTCTTATGTCTCACTAATTAGCTTTGATCATTGCTGTTGTCTAAGATTCTACTCAGTAGTAACTGGTACAGACCCTTCGCCATTCATTCTTCCGCCATCCACCAGGACAAGCGAGTACAGAGTACCTGAGCTGATTCAGATTCCCCTTACCGCGTGTCATCATGTCCACAGCCAACACGGCGGAAAGGCTCGACGCCGCAATCGCGGAATTCTTCTCGTCCTGGGACATGTTCACCACCGTGCTGGCCATTATCCTAGGCGTAGTGCTGATCTACCCTCTGCTGACCAGGCGAGAGTCGGACACGCACCCGTTCCTGCTGGCCAGACAAGCACAAGTGGCACCGGTGCGGCAGCCCGGGCACTCGGCCGTCTACCGAGCCATCGACCTCCCTCACGGCTATCCTCTCCGTTCCGGCCTGGGCGTCAAGGACCCCGGAGCGCCTAGGTGGACGGCTGGCCGGGCAGGCGATCTGCGCGATGTCTGGCGATCGGCGGCCCGCGGCGCGGTCAAGGACGACGGCACGCTGACGGGAGAGAAGGGCAAGATACTGACGGTGCTCGGCCGGGACAAAGTCACCGAGCACGAGCTGGACGACCTGACGCTGGGCATCAATGTGGTCGGCCAGTACGTCAAGCGAAACAATGGCCAGTCGGTGGCTGTGTGCTTGTCAAACTCGGTGGAATTGCTGTCCGCCATCTTTGGTGCGTTCTGATTTTGAGAAACCACTTGCCCCGTGGGCTGGCCAGTACAGCCCAAATGGCTCTTCTCATTCTCTTCCCCTTCGAAGCCCGTCTATTCTCTCAGTCATAGCTCGCTGACCGCTTCTAACCTAGCCGGCTCCTTCTACGGCTTCTCCACGACTTTGATTCCGTACGGCCTGCCCCAGGACAAGCTGAACTCGCTGCTGTCCAAAACATCCGCGGATCATGTCATCGCCGAGGCTGGCACGTTGGATCTGGACGCCATGCAAGCAACCAGCCAATCCATCAAGAACGTCATCTGGGTGGCCAATTCGTCGAGCCAGCATATGGAATGGTCGGCCAACGCCCCCAGCGGGCTCAGCGTGGCTTCCTGGCATGAGCTGGTGCAAAAGAACCACCGCAGTACGAATTCCGAGGTGCTGCCTCTGGATCTGGACTCGCAGGTGCCGCCGGTGTCGATTTTCTACCCGGCTGCCAACGGAGGCTATGACTTGGTCAAGTATACGTCTGGGGTATGTTTTTCACTGTCTTTGCCTTTGTTTTTCCATCTATCCCTACCATGCTGTCGTCTCTGTCGCAGAGGGAAATGCTGACTGACTTTTCTATCTCAATAGAACCTGATCTCCGGCACAGCCGGCCTACAAGCCACGCTATTGCGGGCGTACAAGCTCTCGCCCAGCGATACCGTACACGCCACGACCAGCCTGACGGACAGCTACACGCTCTGCTGGATCCTGGCGGCGCTGTACTCGAACGCCAGCGTGTCGCTGAACTCGGTGGCGGGCGACAACGTCGACCTCATCCAGGCCACGGCGCTGAGCAGGCCGACCGTGGTCATCGCCTCGCCGTCCACGGTGCAAGCATATCTCGAGCACCCAACCACCAAACTGCCGTCAGGTCTGTCCAAGTACGTGTCCAAGCGAACCCTGCAGGCCGGAAACCTGCCGGCCAAGAGCGCAGGCACTCTGGCTTCGTCTCTGGCCAGCCTTCGTGTCTTGCTGATCCCACAATCGACCAATTTGCCCGCCAAGACCCGTCTGTCTTCGTCGACCCTGCACACCCTGCGCTCCCATTTGCAAAGCCGCATTGGCTATGCACTGACCACGCCTCTCGTGGCCGGCGCCATCACCCAAACCAATATCCTCGACTACCGCGACAAGGGGGCGCGAGTGTGTCTAGGCGCTCCGCTAAGTTCGGTCGAGGTGCACGTTTCGGGTGACGAGGAGATCATGGACACCCACACCCCTCAGGGAAAGGTATGTTTGAGCGAAGCGAAACAAACGAACCCCAGACATGTTCGGTTTTATGTTGATGCTAAGACATGTTCGGTTTTATGTCGATGCTAATTTGGCCCTCTTTTCTTAGATCACCGTCAGAGGTCCTGCCGTGGTTGGCGGAAAGATTACGCTCGACGTCGAAGGGCAGGTGGACGAGGATCACACTCTGCTCTTGCCTTAGGTGACGGCGACATACCGTTCATCTGCTAGTGTTCATATCGAAGAAGTCATATGCTTTCGAATATCGAGGCATTGGGTCTCTGCTCTTGCCTTGAGGTGACGGCGACACACTGTTCATTCTACTAGTGTTCATATTGAAGAAAGTCATGTGCTATCGAGGCCTTGGTTTTCTTGGGCGAACATCAACTCGAATGATCTTCTCGGTGCTGAGATAGCAATTAGATGAAAACTACTGGAATATATCAATTAGATGAAAGCTACTGGACTATAGCAATCAGATGAAAACTACTAGAATATAGCAATTAGATGAAAGCTAGATGGAATGGAATGGAAAGGAAGGAGGGAAGGCAACCAAATGAGGCTCATCCAACCCAAAACAAATAAAATTAAATGGAATCCACATCAACTGAAAGGCACTTTGAATCAGTATCCGTCCACGGGGTATGAAAGAGCTGTGAGCCAGCCTTGCAGGGTAGGCATATAGATCAAGTAAGAGCAGAGCAGAGCAGGGCACGAACAAACGCGAGCACAAACACAGATGTAGGTACAGACACAACACAGGCAAGGCACAGGCATAGGTACAAACACAAACACAAACACAAGCACAGTCGTAGGTACAGTCGTAGGTACAGACGTAGACACAGACGTAAGTACAGCACAGGCACAGGCACAAATGCGAGCGTAGGTCCAACCACCAACACCAACACAGGCACAAGCACAAGCACACACACAGGCACATACACGAGCACAAGCACAGGCACAGTCGTAGATAGGTGCAGGCGAAGGCATAGGCACAAACACAACATAGGTACAGACGTAGGCACAGCACAAACACAAGCACAGGTGTAGATGGGCACAGGCGTAGGCACGAACACAAGCACACACACAAAAAAGACCACAAACAAGAGCACGGCACAGGCACGAATTTTTGAGACAACAAGTCTTGTTTTCTAAAAACTAACCTAACCCCCCTGCCATCTCAGAAGACGAAGTCCGATCACTTCGTGCTTTGAGATTAGTGAGTGCAAGAGGGCAGGGTAAAGCATTTTCTGTCAACTGAAACAGAACTGGGATTGATTCGGTGATGGTGATGCAAGCATGCGAATTTGCATGCAACCATGAATCAATCAATAACAAAGCAAAGCAAGCAAGTGTTACTGTAGTCCATCAAGGTCTGACATCTGTCATGGTGAGGCACCGGTGTTGTTGAAAGGTTGCCATTTTGAGAGTGTGTCGATGGTGAATGCTGTTGTTTTTGTCTTGACTTGTGCTGTGGTTTGAGATAGAGGCAGTGGTAGTGTAGTGTTGTGTTGTGTTTGTTGTTTGTTGTCATGTGTGCTCTCTTCCTGAACTCAACCCCCGCCAAACCAAAGAGTCCATCCTGCCCATGAGAAGACAAGGACAAAACTTCCAGTTCAGGAACAGGAATATCAAAAGGAAAAGGGAGAGTGCTCATGTCAATGAACTGTCCCAACTCAACTCAACTCCACCCAACCCCCAACCAGACCCCAACATCCAACACCAACGGTCACTGCATGGACCAACCCATCCAACTCGGACCAGATCAAGAGGCTGCCCAAGCATTGAGACCCATGGCAGTAGTCCACAGAAAGTGCAAGGACTCGGTGATGTCATCGAAAGCGCAGCCAGCTTCATTGAGGTAAGTCTGGAGACGAAGCATGATGGCCGGCTCGGTGTTGTCAGAGTTGTGGCCATGCTCGAATTCATCGTTCAAAGCATCGACGAGCTGGTCTTTGAAGTGTTGACGAAAGCGAGCGTCGGGAACACCAGCCTTGTAGATGTAAGCGACGTATTGAAGGTGCTGCGACGCCAACAAGTCCAACTCGCGAGTCTGGAGCAAGCCAGCCAGAAGAACAGTGTTGGCATGTTCCTTTGCAAACTGGAAGAGATTTGCAGCCAGGTCCTCATCGTCGATAGTGTCAAGCTCCAACTCTTGCAAATTGCCGCGATACATGAAGTTTAGTGCGGTCTGGAAAACATTGGCACTGCATCGGGCAATGGAGTAGGAGCCACCGGGGGCGAAGAGGACCTTGGAAAACATGCGGCCCAGGACGTCGGTGTGGACATAGAAGTGAGCGTTGTCGACCACGACCAAGACTGGCAAGCTGGCCCAGCTACTAGAAGGGTGAAATGGTCAGTCAGCCATCCAATCTGTTGATATGATATTTGCCATAAAGACAATTCAGATGAAGCAAAAGAAGAGCCAGGTTGGAAGTGAGGTGAGGTGAGAAGTGAGGTTGGAAGTGAGAGAAAACTTACCTGAGAGGGATAGCGACCTTGTGGTCCATGGATGGTGCACTCTGCTTGGCAGTGCTCACTCTGGTGGACGTGGCGCCTGCTTTGTCTCCAGCAGTCTTGGTGTTGTTGGTCTTTTCACCAGCACCACGGACAATGTTGTCATTCTCAGGCTTGGATGCGTGAGAGGCGCCAGCATCAAGTTTGCCAGAAGGCTCGGCGTCGATGAGAGTCACATGCTTGAACGCCGACTTCACCTCGTCGATCTCTTCTTTGGTGAGGCGAGTCTTGCCTGCAGCGATGTTTGCACCTTTCATGGTAGCATCTATCTTGTTGAGGTGCTCAGTCAAAACTGCATACAGTTTCTCTTGAGACAACGCCGAGGGGTTGGGACTGCCGACAGGAGTCGGGGCACCAGAGAAGTCGGTGACAGTGGCTTGGAGACCAGTCATTGTGATGAAGGGTATGAAGGGTAAAAGAGTTTGAAGGTCTTTGAATGAGGCTTGATGAAGGTTTATGATGAGAGGGGTGGATTTGGAGAGGTGTAGGAATGAAAGATAGAGAAAGTGCGCGAGGAATGTGCGCGAGATATTTATAACGCGAAGTCCAACAGGTACCGGCAGTATTACTCGCCAAGTCGAAACAATCGCCGAATGGGGTAGGGTCCGGCAGTATCGAAAGTTAACGTGACCAGGGCGGTATCATTCACAGACAGAGAGAGGTGGTCCAGTGTTAGCAGTCGGCAGAAAGGGGGGAGAGAGAAAGAAGTCGAATTTCCAGACGGCCCATGAACCAAGAGGCCTTTCTCGCATGGTATGTTCCCGGATATTTGTATATTGAAGCAGGCCCTTGATGTCAGTCAGGGGAGAAGTCGTCCTCGTACTCTTACACTCCGATCCTAAGCAGATCTGGTTGTTGTGTGTCCATGCACCATCGCCATCGCCATCGTTCAAACACCGATGTTTGTCGCGATAGCCAGTCCGATGTGCCAACATACTCACAAACATCATCTTCATTTCTTTCCCTTCCTCGACCTGAAGCTGCCAGCTTGTTTAGAAGGCTTCCCACCCGTCAACATGGCCCGTTGCCTCAAGTATTGATCCACCACCTTCTGTACGCTTCCCATATCATGTTCTGGTTTTCTCAGGTAATACAACCTGGCACGTCTCTTCCTCTTGGGTGACCTCTGAGCGATTTCCATACTTTGAACGAGCGGGCTGTGCACCTTGATGCTCATCTCCATTCCTATCGTGGTCAACTGATTCCGCAGCAGTACCGACGTGTGTGGACCGGTGCCTTTGATGGACATGATGACCCCCGACACAGGTTCTCCGGTTTTGAAGGTCGTAAGCAAAACGTCCCCGACCTTTGCGCGATCCGGGTTCGCCTTGTCGAAAAGTCTCGCTCGTGCGCCCGTGGGATCTAAGATGGATAGCTGCTGCTTGTCCACATGGGCCACAGGATCTTTGCATGTCTCGGCCTCGGATATGGGGGATGGGTGGATCACGATATCTCGTCGGTCTGCGCGGGAAGTTAAAACTGCGCTGGCGGTAGGAGCATCACGACTCACTTCGTCCCGGTCTATATCTTTCTGGGAGTTGAGGGAGCAATTGCGGTGGGAGATCGGAGGGGACCTCCAACTTCTGCACAGGTCCCCGTTGTATGGTGACCATTGACCGACGGAATTGCCTCTGCGGCCGGGCCTCTGCGAAGAAGGACCTCCAACAGCAGGTTGAGAAACGAGATGCTACTGGTTGAGACATGTTGAATACCGAGAGCTGCAGAGGCCGTGTTCGTCTGCAGGAACCGGCTGTAGTTGTGAAGCCAGAGCTGCGCACTCGCTGTGCTGGAGAAATCGAAGTTCGCGTGTAGTCGGAACTAAATTTGAGCGATTATGTAAGCCGGTTGGCGTAGCGCCGCAGCACCGCAGCCGCCAATATGTCGACTCGCCAATTCTCTACTGTCTACCTAGTACTGTCGATTGTCGACTGTCTAGGTTCTATGCGTCACTGTCAACTGTCTAGGCTCTATGCATCACCGCCCCTGAATGACTACAGAGACCACTCTGCCCGTCCGCATCCACCACCAAGACAAGACTCGCTCATTTGGGCCTAACCAAGACTCGCTCATTTCGGCCTGACTAAGACCTTGAACTCTTCCTTCAGCTCGGCCAGTGGCTTCTGGTATGCAGATCCAGGCTCGATCAAGCGCTCAAAGTCGGCATTGTATCTGTTGTTCTCCTCGAAGATGCCATAAGTTCCGAGCATGTTGTAGGCCGGCGTGAGCAATCGGACCTTGACTCCCTTCTCCGTATCCTCGTCCCACAGCCTCTTAGCCTCGGCGAAGAAGGCATCGAGATCGACCTTGACGATATTCCAGCCCGGCCGTACATCTTCGAGGATGGGAATCAGTTCGTTCAAACTGACGGTGTGGTCGGCGACGTAGACGGGCCGGTTTTTAAACTTGGCTGGGTCTGCGAGAACATCGCAGACAGCTTTGGCAGCGGTGCTGACGCGGCACATGCTGTTACGCTGGTTTCCGCTGCCGTATACGGTGATGGTGTTTGTCTGCGGGTTGATCCAGTAGTACCCAAGTGGGATTGCTGCCATCATTGACGTTGTTAGTGCTTAGTATGGAAGATGAACGCCATCTGCAGAACGTGACAGTAGGTATCGTAGGGCGGTACAGTATTACTGACAAGAGGAGTAGGGACGGTACAGTATTACTGACGGGAGGAGTAGGGACGTATTCAGCATGAGACATGAGGCCCACACAACACGCAGCAAGACAGGCTAGAAAGGCTACGCAACATAGCCAGGACCGAGGACCCAGGACAAGAGCTCAAGATCAGGACAAGAACTCAGGACCAGGACAAGAACTCAGGACCAGGACAACAACTCAAGACCAGACAAGAACTCAAGACCAGGACAAGAATCAAGACCAGACTCACCCCAATCATACCACCCGCCAGTGATGATGGCGGTCCAGGAAAGCTCGGTGCCGCGGACCTTGTCCTCCAGCTGCTTCTGCGCCTCGACTTTGGGCACATACAGCGGCAACTCTCTAATATGCGGGCTGAAGGTGTCGCCTGCGAAATCCGGCGTGATGATATGCTTGACCGTGCCGGCCTTGAGACAAGCGTCGACGATGGTGGGTTGCATGTGTGCCGCGTTCGGGGGGAAGGCTTCGACCACGGCGTCCTGGCCTCTGAACAGGTCGACGAGCGCCTCGACCGAGCTGTAGTCGACCACGGCCGGGATGATGGGATGCGGGAACTTCTTGCCCTCGGTTCGTGAGGCTGCCGTCACCGTGTATCCCGCTTTGGCCAGGGCTGTGACAACAGGCTTGCCGACGTTGCCGGTGGCCTGTGGGTGTCAAGTCAATACCAGGTAGTTTTGACAAGGGAGCCTTTTTGGTCTGTCTTTCGTATACCTACCCCAAGCACGACCACTTTCTGGATTGGTCCGGACATGATCTGTACGCTGGATGGGATGGGATGGGATGGTGGACAGGATGCTGGATAGGATGCTGGATAGGATGCTGGATAGGATGCTGGATAGGATGCTGGATAGGATGCTGGATAGGATGTTGGATGGTGGACGGTGGATGGGATGTTGGATGGGGGACGTTGGATGCTGCTAGATAGGATGCTGGATAGGATGCTGGATTGGATGCTGGATTGGATGCTGGACGCTGGATGAGATGCTGGATGCTGGATGCTGCAACGACTGGGATACTGTATAGACAGGAATTCGAATTCTGAATATGCCGTTCAAGTACACAATATGCACTGAATACAGGACCAGAAACCCCGTCAAGACTGAGCCCCGGAAAGCTGAGTGAAGATTGAAAAAGCCAACAAGAAACAAAGATCCCCTCGTCCCTGATTCCCCCGTGGTCTAATTATGTGTACGTATGGAGTATGTAGTGACATGTCGCTGATGGGGCCTCCTGCTTGCCAGCGTGTCACTCCCGACTTGATTGGTGGCGATTGTGCTGGTGTCTGCGAGCGATGGAGATAGACCCACGCTTTCGGATTCAGATCCATGTGCATACAGTACAATGTACAGCACACGTCTTTGGGTTGAGAGCAGTACCAGCAAGTGAATCAATGTAGATGTAAATGTGTCTCTCTACCTACCTACCTTATTACATTAGTACTGCAATGCACTACCCATACCAATACAGCACCACTGCGTCTCCAGTTCCATCTCCATTCCTAGGTATTTGCCTTTCACGTTTCCCATACCTATGTATATGTGGCAGCCCTCAATACACTTCTCTCCTCTCCACCATACAATTCGATTCGTCGCCCGACCATAAAGGAAGAATATTCGACTTCTCTCCATTATACTCCGCCCGACCATGAAGAAAGAATCGGCGTGTGTAAGGATATAGTAAGTAATGAATACGGCAAGAGTACAGATACAGATACAGATACAGATACAGATACAGATACAGATACAGATACAGATACAGATACAGATACAGATACAGATACAGATAGATGGTAGATGGGAGATAATATATGCAATTCGTTCCGTTTCGTTTCGTTAGGGTTAGGGTTAGGGTTAGGTCCTATTCGATTTCTTGCAATCTATCACCATCACCAATTCTGTTCACCAAGCCCACCTCATAAATATGAATTATGTGTATGTGTACTCCTACTCGTAGCCTAGTCGGACCGCACCACGGTGCAAATCAGCCGTCCTCCGTCGAATGTCTAGTCTCAGAAACCCCAATGTGTCCCATTGCATGTCTATTGAAAAAAGAAACAGGGCAGAAAACGATCCGCAACGAACCGATATCCGCGTGAAGCTATCATCAACTTCCTAAAAGGTAGTATTGTTTCCACCATCAATTTCCAAGATTTTCGCTATTGTCGCTATTGTGATTGTCGTCATCGTCACCGTCGTCAACGTCGTCACCGTCACCGTCGTTGTCAGTAAAACCCATTCTCCCTTCGTCTTTTCATTCCTTTCTCAAGGAGGTGCCATGCTGTCCTGTGATATGAAATGAGGTGAAATGAGGTGAACCAAGGTGTATGCCACACTACCACGCCCGCTCTTCTTGCATCCTCGCCCGTTCGCCCATCATGACTGTCTGCATCAAGCCCTCCGCGGCCAAATGCACCTGACGGCGTGAGATGCCCACCTTGGACGGGATCCAGGGAAGATAATCATCATCGAGTTGAGGTTCATCATCGAGTTGAGGTTCATCATCGAGTTGAGGTTCATCATCG